GGAGGGGGGGGGGGACGTCTCTTAGAACACGAATAATCGAAGCACTGAAATTAGTTTCCTCTTGTACAATTACGTTCCATCGAGCAGGATTCGATTTTGACGTGACGCTCCAAATAGTACGCGTTAACTTGACATATAAACCGTACAGTGGAAATGAAACAAAAAACGCCTATTTTGTACCACATATTTGCCATTTCGAAGCAGCTATTTAAAAGCACTCGATGAGAGGAAACTTGAATACTATCGAAAACGCAAGACAAAGATCGAGGAAATTGATGTAAGTCATCAGGTTGATGCAAAAGTTCGAAATGTTTTTTTATGAGTTCTTTGCTAAAAATCCCGGAACATTTCTATGACCGCGGGATCCTGCAGTTGCCGGGGGGGTAATTGAACAAAACGGCGCATATTGAATTGATTGATTGTATTTAAAATAAATATGTGCATTTGGGTTAAAAAACGAAACGAACTTTTGCATCAACCCGATACATTACGTTGCACAATACTAATAGAATGTTGCACCGGATAGAAATGATGTAATTTATTCCACAAATGAGTAATTCGCTGGTCACACAACATTATTTCACGGTAACGATTCAATATTAGTATTATATACAAATAATTCTTATATGTTGTATATATAACGTATTATATGTTGTATACATAACGTATTATATTAAAATAAATATATAACGTTATTCTTGCTGTCGGCGACAAAGATATTGTAATTATTTGTCACCAACACGCCCGACACCCACCCGAATTGACGTCCTTTGATCCCTTTGGAACCCAACACTCGCAGAAACTCACCTTCCGGCGAGAAGATCTGCACCCGGCCATTTCCGGCGTCGCCGACGATGATGTTTCCCTTCTTGTCGATCCTCAGCACCTCCGGCGATCTGCAGAACGAAAATAGCTCTCAGCAGATTTCGCATTTCGGCAATACCCGGTGAGTAATAAGCACACGCGAGTAACTTCATCGTACTTGAATAAACCTTTCGACGTGCCGACGCCGCCGATCGTCTGAAGGATCCGCCCGTTGTGATCGAATATCTGCGTGAAAATGAATATGATTTCAGCGATAATTAACGAGGTTCACAGCTACATCGCAGAGTAGCACCTTTATCGCGTACATTTATACAATTATGTTTAAATCATCGTGTGTGTGTGTGTGTGTGTGTGTGTGTGTGTGTGTGTGTGCGTGCGTGCGCGCAATCGCACGTACGTAACCACCGGACATCACTTTCATAAAATGTGTGGTAATAAAAAATAATAAATCTATCTTCTCTCCTGCGCGTATATACGCACCTATTAATTTTAATCTCGGATTTTTCTAACATTTATATAGAACTCTGTGGTATCTTTATTTGATATCCCACAGATATTAATGATATTCGTGTCTGCTTGTGAATACTACACCCAGCCTAGATTTCCTGTTGTTATACACACACACACACACACACACGTACAATCTGATGATGAAAGATTGCAACACTTTTCCTCGGTGAGTTTCGCCACGCATCTTGTATCGAGTAGGAAAATATATTTACCGAGTATTACCAAAGCACACGGAAAAAAATAATGCTGTTACTATATCGATAGATTTCCAATATCGCGCGTAATCGGAGTCAATCTTCTGGATGGAATAAATTCGCAGTTCTCCTCGCGGAATTTCAGTCGAGAAAAATGCGAAGGCTGACGGTTCGTCTGCGGAGACGCTCACCTTAACTTTGTGACTGCCGGAATCGGCGACGACGATGCGCGTTGACGTGACGGCCACGTCCGTCGGCAGATTCAGGTGGCTCGGCGGAAGATCGTCGGTGAATCTGACGATGTTTTTCGCGCGCTTACCGATGGGCCCGATGCTGCCCAAGTACGAACCGTCCCTTTCGAGGATCTGGATGCGGTCATTTCCGGTATCGGCGACGTAGAGCACGTCACGCTCCGGGTGGAAGGTGATTCCCTCCGGCGAGCGCAACTGCGAATACCCTAAGCCTCTGCTGCACATGCGACGAGCGAGCTTGCCCTTGTGATTGAACACGAAGATGCAGTGCTTCCATTTGTCTGCGAAAGGTTCAAGTTCATTGCGACCAGCGCGCACCTTCGCGGATTTCGCTTCCTCTTCGGAACGCGAACGCAATTCACGCGAAATATCCGGAGAACAAATGACTGTCGCTACTCGTTAAAAATCGGACGAGCCATATTTTTCGTATTACGCGTATCAATGCCATTTAAGCGTAAAATTATAATTTAATAATTAATAATAGATTAATAATTATGTAAGTAATTATACAAAAAATAACTATATAAAATTATTCTTCTTCGTGTATATGTCTGGTTCTTTTAAGTCTCATTTTATAAACGGTGTCGTTGAATAATTCTCAGATACTTCGTTGTGCCTGAATTTATCCACAGTTCGGTCCAAATATTGATTCGATTAAGTCTGTGCCCTCTTGTTAATTCTACGCTTCGTTAATTTCACCTATTAAATGTCAAAACCTGTCACGTATATCTCGTCGCTCTTCTGGAGGAAGGCGACTCCTTGAGGCGCTATCATCTCTCGGTGGCGAATCCTCCGCATAAGTTTGAACTTCCTGTCGAGAATGACAACCTGTCCCGATCCCGGACAGGTTGTGATAATGTGATCCCTCCAGGAATCAACGGCGAGCGCCGACGGCCGTTGCACCATGTCATGGTTCACGATTATTTTGGGCGTGAAAGCCTTCCGCCTGTCGTACCAATTTTTACTTTTACGATCTCACGTCGCCGCAATTTTCGTCTGGCAATACATTAACGTGCCGCTCTTCGCACCCGCGCGCGATTTTCAAGCGAGATCGCTTCGCTTATTCGTTAAACTCGACGGAACTACAAATCAGTGGGGACAGTTCGGATTCACAATTCTGAGAAACGTCAGAAAGACGTTTAACGAAGATTCCAGCTTCCCGGAGGTCTTTATAAAAGCTTCTCTACGCGTTCCAAAACTTCTGTGTCGTCTAACGGGTTGAATGAAAAATCGTATATCTTTGCGAAAAGAATGTTATATAAAAATGTAACAGAACACTTGAACGCGTTATAAGCGATCAGCCGTGCGCTGAGAAAAAAAAATATGATGATTAAATAATGGGATGCGCTTAGCACGTGAAGATGCGCTTACTTGTAAAGAGGCTCGACGTTCTCTTTGATAACTGATCTTCCGCGTTTGTTGATCTCCGCCAGACTTATTTCTATATCGTGCAATTCCGACTCCCAGATGGCGATCGCTGCCATTATTTCGGCGGCTTTTTGCTGCAGGTCCAGAAATACTTTCACCTGAAACAGATACGGTATAATAGCTCGTTAGAAGGGTTGGATAAATTAATTTTTATCTTTAACTAAGTTAAAAAAGTTGAAACTTAACGTTAAAGATTAAATTTACGTGAAAAAGTAAAACAGTCTTATAAGAAAATATCAAACGTTTTATGTTCTCAGGATTCCATGCAAAAAAAAGAGGAGAGAGAGGAAAAAAAATTCTGCTAACATTATGTTTTTTTATCTTTTTTTTAATTTTATATTGCAGTATAATCAATCTAAATGATTTTAATATTGATGAATTACTTCAACTTAATGGAAGTTGAATTACATCAACTTAATAAAGAAAGTTAATAAATTCAAGTTAACGCACTTTTGCAAGTAACTAGTTCAAGTTGGAAGTTAACTCATTTAAAATTAACTAAATTAAATTAATAGTCATTAACTTCTTAACTTTATAACTTTTAACCGATTAACTTTTAACGAGTTATTATCCAACTCTGTTCGTTGGGTATAATTGTGTAGGGAAGGAACACTGGTACAAGACACGGACGCGATTAATATTTCCATTTTCTCAATACGAATCCACGCGGTTTATTCGATGTGATTAAAGTTTTACCAGCAAATGAAGCGAGAGGCACGGACGGAACGCGATAACGAGAACGCGGCAGCTAATTACAATGTTGCTGATTCGATAAAACCGCCCCGTCGATCGATTAAACGAGGCGAAAAACGAGATCTCATTAGTTTAACGCTAACCATTGTTACACATAAATTGTTGTATAAATATTGCTGATGAAACTCCTCGTTACCAAATCGTTACCGAGAGAAAGTAACTTGTAACGATGATTTGCCAACCCTGCCGGCCGATCGCATCAGTGCCTGAGAGCACGGAAACGTCGCGAAAACGACGAAACGAGCTCTCCTCCATTCGAGTCTACGCGCTGATAAATCGGCGAACGAACGAAATGAAATATGCAGAGCAATGCAGTTGACGTTCTCCGCCGCAAATCCCGCACGGTGTGCAACGACGCGTCGCTAAATTGCGGCCAATCGCCGGCATAAAGAGAGAGAGAAAGAGAGAGGAAGGGACGGGGAGGGGGAGAGGGAGAGAGCAAGAGGAGAGCGGCGGAGCTTTGTGTCCTGGTGCTTTCTGGCACTTACGGTACCCCGAAGTCGTACCACCGGCGGTCACGTGCCGGAGCGTGCCGGCCCCTTTGTACAGATTCTCGATCCCCCGCCCTGCCTTCTCCGCGCTCGTCCTGCTCGTTTCATCGTCGCGAATAGGAGGATCGCCGCGATTCAACGTGCGAGGACACGTGTACCAAATAGGCTTGGTGGCCCAAAGCCTGTTTGCGTCGGCCGGCGGTGGACCTCCGACGGCGGCGGCGTTGACGAAGTGTCATGAACCGACGAGGAATTCGTCGATTCTCGAGCACTTTGGTGAGAGAGAGAGAGAGAGAGAGAGGTAAGCAGGACGAAGTAAAAGTAATCGGACGAAACGTGTTTGGTGAGTCGTTGTCGTGGATTCATTCGGAAGCTGAGGACGCGCTTTTGAGATTAGATTTGCTCCGGAATGTGTTGAATTCTTCCTCTACGAAAGAGATATTTCGCGCCTACAAATATTTTCGATTTATATTTAACTTATTTACGTATAGTGTGAGACAAGTTATATATATAAATAAATTATATATAGTGTAATATTTATATATGCGATTTGTCCGATGTGAAGTACACCGATCTGAATTTAGAGTTAGATCTGAGTTTTTCAGTCGAACCGGCACGATATATGTGTGTCGCTATACGCAATCGAAATTCCACGGAAAGATTCACATCTAACTTTAGCAAATAGGCAATGGTATGTCGGTTTTGGGGCTTACTTTCTAACTCTATCAGATTAACTCGGAAGATTCTTCTTTTTTTTTTCATAAAATATACATTTCATTCACCAGTGTAGTTCTATTTGAAAACTGTTGTGTATTGAAAGAATCTAATTTTCTACCAATTTCAACACGATATGATTTCGTAATTATGTGTAATTTTTCGCGTCTCACGCGCGATGAAAAAGAGATTTCGAGAGAATGGAGATGAAGGCTCTGTCTCCTGGAAATGCGGACGCGCACACCTGTCTCGCGCTTTTCTGGGGCGCGGACTCGCGACATTTATTGTCCGTGCCACGTGCATTCGTCGGATCGTTTGAAAACCATGCGTCTCGGCCGGTGGCTTCAAAGCGCGGCGCGAAGCCCGCCTTCGTTCTTGTTTTTTCGCGACACTTAGTCGCGCCGATACGTTTCGTGCCAATCAGATGGACAGTGGAAGCGCGTGCCGATAAAATGGTCACCCGAGAATCGACATTCCTGTCCGAGGACCCAACCTAGCGTGCGTTCTATGAGAACGGATGACTATGTAAACCGTGAATTGTCTCCGGCGAAACGAGGATGACTCGAGGGGAAAGACAATGGCGAGGAGCAATTAAGAGGCTCCTAATGAGCCGAGTTCGGAAGAGGTTCGGCGATGTTGATCAATCGAACGGCCGCATTTACGAGACAATTACGACGAGCAGCCTTCCGTCGATGCGACATCGCAATTAAATACGCGATGCTAATGATGCTCACTGGAATAAATCGTCGGCCGAAGGTAGAAGAAACGCAGTGAAACATTTTGTGTGAAATTTAACACACTTCACCTGTCCTAAACGGCTCATTGAAATGTTAGCATTAATCTAACGCAAGGTGAATGCGTCGAAACAAAAGTACGATTTGTTCACGGGATAACATATCCGAGTTGTTGACTGTTAATAGCTATACTTTCGATCCTCCGTTACGCTCGGCAAGTTGGAACGACACTCCAGACTCGATATAACTTGTTATCGCGCGCGTAACTCTCAAGATATCGATTTTTAGCGATTGGGAGTTTTGCGACGCTTCGGGGCTCTCACGTAATGCTTTATTACAATTTGTTCGATAAGAAGCTTTATCGCCGTTGTCGCTGGAGACGACCCGATTGGCTCGATTATTATTCCGCTAGAAGGAAATCCCAAGAAAAGAGAGAGATATCATCACAGGAAAAGAAATCACACGCGAAGAGAAATGCGTCCTAAATTACCGGTTCTCGACGCTCGTACCTTCCGTTCTCCATGCGGCCGGCTAATTTGCTGCTGTTTTTTTTCCAGCAGCTCTCGGCGCGCAAATCAACCGGTTTGGAGATCCGAGGCCCCCTCCCCCCACATGCGCTCCTTAACCGGCACGATATAAACATACACGTCGGAATTAATGATACACCATTTAGTTACGCGTCAGTTGATTTTCCCAGGGCAACGGCTTTGTGCGGCCCGTCGAGGGGGTCTCAGGGGGTCTCTGCGGCGCGCGCTCTTCAATATGTCACTGTGGCTAATTTTAGGGGCCAACTACCGGCCATCGGCGAATCGAGGGGGTCATGTCGGGTGCCCTGTAACGAACCGCCGCCCTGTGATCCCACTGATTTTCCGCCTCGTTAAGAGTGTTATCAGCACGGGAAATGTCGACATTGTATGTGTTATCTTGTCGTGCTTGCGTTCAATGTGTGACAAGAGGGCCGGGCAAGAGAAATGAATTAAATCCGGCTTCTTGTAAGAAGTACATCGTGCCCTTCACTGAGTCTTGTCATAAAATTTAGATATAAAAAAATACACATATATATATATTTTTTTTCGTCTTTAAAGCCCGAATTTTTTATGAAAAATAAAATCTTATGAACCAATGCAGAAATATTTGTCACAAATTAAAAGAACAAATTATTTGCTCTCACCACGGGAAAATTATTTGTTGTTCCATATCTACTATTTTGTATTGTCTTGTTAAATTAACGAAAATATTTCTCTCAGAACATGTTATTTGATTATTCTTGTTGTTTTCTAACAGGTGATAGAATCGAGCAAGTAGGAGTTTCATAGCCACCTTTCGTATGTTTGAAATCCCTGCTTACTTGATTCTGTAATCAGTTAGGAAATAGCAGAGACAATCAATTTGTCAACTTACCCCTTTAGCCAACTAGTCCCGGTCTCCCCTGTTTAACCGCAACTGTTACACGTCGCGACGTTCCTACCGAACCCCCGTCGAAGAGAAAAGAAAAACAAGAAGTAACGTGACTTCCAACGCGGACTTCTAACGAAACATCGCCGGTCCGCCGAGGCAACTCGCTTGCGCTTATCGGGGGTGAATTACTCGACGAAAGCGGCGAGACGATTCTTAATCGGCGGGAACGCCGGCGAGCAGTCGGACTGCACATCATTCATTGGGTGATCATCGAACGATGACGAGTCCCACCGGGCGGCACTGAGTGACTCCGGCGGAAATGATTCGGCGGCGCGTTACATAATTGTCAGGCCAGTCAGTCATCGGGGTGGCGAGTTTTCCGGGCACGGCGGATTCCGGGGCTAGCAGGCGCGGCAATAAATTATAAAAGATGATCGGTAATTAACAGTAACTGCAACTGGATAGCGTTTATGCCGCCGCTGTGGAATATACGCCCGCCGGTGCCTGTAGCTGACTCTTTATGGTGGGGTGTGCTCGTGACGTGAATTATTAGCCCTTGGGCCCTGCAGAGCCTCGGGCTTGTGTGCCGCGCGCGTATGCGTGTCTCTCTTCGCGCGTGTGCGCGCATATGTATGCGCGCGTACGTATCGGTGCGCGTCTCTATGTGTACGTACACGTATGCGTGTGCATCTGTGTGCGGGCTTCGTCGTGCGGGCGTGGCCTGGCGAGGGTGTCGGGCGTGGCTACGAGCCAACCCCGAAAAAGCCACCCTCCAGGGAGAGACGGAGAGAAAGCACGAAGGGAGGAAGAGGGAGGAAGAAAGAGAGAGAGAGAGAGAGAGGACGAATTGATTCCGGATGGATTCCATCTCGTCCGCGCGAGTGCGCGAGCCGAGGAGCCTGCTTTTTCTTACCGGCGCTCCTGGGGTTACCTCGAAAAGCGTTTCCTTCCACCAACGGTCGCTCGAGTTCGCCGCGATCGAGTCGCGATCGATATTCGGACGCGTCGGGGGATCCAACTTTTGGGGCACCCTCCTCCCGCGCACAGGTGCGGCGAACGTCGCACACGGACTCGTTTTTGCGGGCCAGCGATTGTCCCCGATGACGAGAGACGTCCATGATTAAGCGGCTACTCCACGTCGGAAATTAATCTCGACGCGCACTTATCTCGATTAGACCGATGTCGGACAGAGAGAAAGAGAAAAAAGAGAGAGAGAGAGAGAGAGAAGGTGGTTGCTTTTTCTCAATACAGTTCGCGATGAAAGAAAGGCAGAAGGGTTTGCATTTTTCCCTGCGCCTACCAACCCTTGCGATCTGCAGGTAACGCGGACAGCTTGAACTGGATCGACCGAAACGACCTCACTCTCTCCGCGCGCGTCTTTCTCTCCTCACCACCTTCCCCGGAAAAAAGGAAGAAAACGAGAGAGAAAGCATCGCGCGGGATCTGCGAAGTTTTCGTTGAGCCCGTAGGACGCAATGGCGACGAAGCCACGAAAGTGTATCTCATTATCCGGCTCGCTCCCTCGCGGGATGGAGGTCTTCGATATCTTGGGGATGACGAGGGTAGAGCGAGGGAAGTATGAAGAACGAGGAGAGAAAAAGAGAGAGAGAGAGAGAGAGAGAGAGGGAAAGGAGGAAGAGAAGGAGCGTAAAAGGGTCGAAAGGAGAGGAGCGGATGGAGGAGGGAGAGGAGGAGGAGGAAGAGGAGGAAAGCCGCGTTGCGGAGAAAGAGACAGGACCCAGAAGAGCCTTCGCCATCCTACCAGACCGCCGTGCCCGCGTTTGTACAGTGGTAATGGGCTGTCAGGAGCAGACGCTGGCTGCTCGTGCCTTATACACCAACACCATTATCCTCCCGCTATCCCGGGTTAGGTCCTATCGGTTGGCGAACCCACCCCTTCAGCAACCTCTCCCGTCGCATCTCTCTGTGTCTCTCTACTCCCCTCTCTCACTCTCTCTCTCTCTCTTTCTCTCGTTCTCTTTGTTTCTCTATTCTCGCCTCGCGGCTTGTTTCTCATCGTCATCGCTGCTTTTTTTAGTCGATTTAACGCTACAAGAGCCGGCACACTTCCGCGTTCGCGCACGAATGTGGTCACCGGAACCACCCCGAGCTCCACGATGTTTATTTTACGCTTCCGCGTCGGCCTTCGTCCGCTTTTCAAAGAAGAGTCTCGCCTCTCTACCCGGAGATTACTCACACGGAAGGGGGAGGGAGGGGGCAGTGTAACCGAGAGACACCGACATTAACGACGATTCTGTAATAAATGAAAGACTGAAGATTTCTCCGGAGTGACGATTAATGCGGATATGCTTTGGCGGGCCCGTGAAACACACCGGCGAATTTAGCCACAGAAATGATTTTTCCGTTTCGATTTTACGCGAGGAACGGCCTTTCCTCGCGTTATTTGCCCGGCTTCGACCGATTCCCATTTATCTTGTTCCTTTTCCCCGTTATTTTATTCTCGTTGTATTCAACGGAGTATTAACCGCGGTATTCTCCCCCCTCCCCCCCCCCTTTCTTTCTCTCTCTCTCTGTCTATTTTGGTCTCGCGTCGTATTTCGCCGTATTTCGCCGGCAGTAATTTTCTCGCGGCTTTTTCCGCGCATCGTAATACTCCCGTTATCGACAATAGCGACGGGTTTTCGTCCTCGTCTCGGGCTTGCTCTTCGTCTACCTTATTGGCTTTGCGGCGAACGATGAAAATTCCGACCAGACCCCGCCGTCGGTTCTCTCGCCTCGGCCAGCCCCACGTGTTCGCCATCCTCCCCCTCCCACGTGCCTTCCTCCTCTCAAGTAATCAATACTGCGAGGCGTCCTGCACGGGACAGGTACGGCGCTGGTCCAGATTTCAGATGCGGCGAAGAGGGAGCGGGGGATTAACGCCAGAAGGGTAGAAAAAAGCCGGGGTTACTTCGCCTAACTTGAAAGAGGACGCGACTGGAGAATGGACTGCATTCAGCCGTTCGATCATTTACGCTAACCTTCTCTCTCTCTCTCTCTCTTTCTGTCTTTAACCAGAGGCGAATTTGCGGTATTGCGCGATACGCGAATGAATGTGGGTCGGAAGAATCGATTTCGCCTTTTTATCTTTCTACAATACCGTTTTTATCTATTTTATATTATTCTACATTGGCGTTGAAATATATCACGCAATAAGTTGAACGCTCTTAGCGCGCGGATTTTACAGCAAAAGGTAAAAAATCCAAAGCGAAGAGTGAAGAGAAAAACTTTTCATATCGACGTGCGAGCACGTGTCGTACAGTTGATATAATGCTAAAACGAATGTATAAATATATTTCGGTCGAAGCGTACTTTCGACTCTGTAATTTTTTATTCTTCAAATGCGCAGATTTTTAACACGCCCATTCCAAATTTAAGTATAAATGCGTAATGAATGTTCATGAATATCGCGAATGTAACGTGTGTTCACGTTGGAAATCTTTCTTATTTGGGAGTGAGAGCGAAACGACGAGCAATCAAAGAAGCCATACCTTTCTCTCGTTGCTCGGCAGCAAATCGTACAAGATGTCCTTTCCCTCCCTTATCTCCGTCTGAGCTTTCGCCATCCTCTGTTTGATGTCGCCCACCGACGCTTCACCCGTGGCAACCATGTGTTCCACCTTCTTGATTCGGTTCCCTTTCCTTACGTTCAGTTCAGCTATCTTGCCCTCGATGTCCCTGCTGATGAAATCTCTCATCTCGTTCGTTTTGTTCTGTGCCGAATAAATTGATCCTTCGTTTACTTACGCACGAGTTGTCCGACGATAAAATTCGAGATTCCATTCGAGATCTCGCGTTTTATATACTTGAGAGACGTCCAAAGCACATCTTGAGGTGTCCTTTTCGGATGTCTCTTGAACACGTACTTTACGAGAGATTCGAATAAGTTAACGAATAAAGCAGAATTACCCGAAAGTGGACGATCCTCTCTTCGAATCTCGCTGTCGACGCCTCGAGATCACCGCTTATATTGCCCAGCTCCTCTTTCAAGTCATCGTTGACATGTCTCTTCCAGCAAGCGTAGCAGTATCCCTAGGAAAACGAATTCCGCGAGATATCTGACAGCCTGTCATTATTATCGTTTTGTTAAATGAAACGTCGCTTTACAAAAGCGACCGATCGCTAAAATAATTTCACAGTCGTTATTAACATTTCCATTATCGCGCTGAGTTCCGCGGGTTCGCACAAAAGTTTAACCGATGTTTGAAAATTACCGAAGAGCACGGTAAATTAATGTAATTCAAGAAACATAGATTTTTCAGCTCGCTTCATCGGCTCTCTATCGGGGCCGTACAATTTCTCAAACGCGATTTATTCTACTTTATACTTTGTACGCAATTTAATACGACGATATCGAGACGCGATATGGTATTAATCACCGATAAGAGTCGCGGCATTCGGCGTATTAATTGCAATTAAGTTGGCGTTCATAATTACTCCTTTTCAATAGAACTCGGAATTTATCGCAATTTCTACTCGAACATTGATAAGAACTTCAAGTTTTCAACGAGAGTCCTCGATATTCTTAACATGCTTTTAGCATTCAATAAATATTAGAGGAAAATGGGGTAATACCGGTCGCCTCTATATCTCGGGTGTGGTCGGTACGAATCGTACTTTGTGAGTTTCTTCGCGGCTGAGCTATTGCGAAAAGTTTGTCTCGTCGTCTTCTGATGTAAGAATCGCCGCTAAATATCTGCTTTCGTATCAGTCTATATTAATCTACAGTCTACAGTAAACACCTGTAGGAGTCCATTGCACTAAGTACACAGACATTTCTTATGAATTCATTTTACGAGTTTCCGCTTGGGCGATCGCCATTACCCCCGTTTCACACTAGATTATCATTTAATTGGTACTCACGTGTTTACAATGTTTGCATTTTCTCACGCAGATTTCGCTGCATCTGCGGCACTTGAACGTCGGCGAAAACTCCCCGTTCCATATTTTTGGCGGTAAAGGCGCGAAGCTCACCGTGCTCTTCGGCGGTCGTCCTTGTCGTTTGATGCTGCTCGCCATCATGTCCAAGAGAGATTCGATGTAGAGATTGTTGGGAAAATTCCCAGGCGCGCGACCGTCGAAGCTCGTATCGCAGACGGGACAGGTAAAATTGCCATCTGCTAACAAAGGTTAATCAGTGGGAATACTTTTCAGCCATCCGATTCGACTCGCTCGAGTTGCGAAGGGGGTGACTGAAATATAAAGCCTTACCACTCGTAATGTTGTTTTATCGTGAGCGATTAATAAAATATTATTCCTTCGTTCGTAATTACATCGCGACGACGCGGGGCCCGGACTCGTGGAAATTAAATGAGACACGCCGCGATAATTACGAAATGATATTAAATGAATTCCCGACGGCGGAGTTGCTGTAAAAATCCCGCTGGCGTGTGGCACGCGTGTCTCGCGTAATATTTCGTATCTGCACAGCGGAAAAAGATTTCTTTGAATGTGACAAAATGATTCTTTAATTGAAATAGACTTGTCTTTTGGAATGAGGCAAACAAACAAATGTTTGACTCAACAAACAGGGTATGTGTATGGTTTCTCAAACGATAAATTTTTTCACGTCGAATAACACGTTTCTCTCGTACTTTTACTCCAAATATATGCAATGGTTGTCACAAGCGATAAGTTATTTGAAGGGAGCAACACTAAGTTAGACAAATATTAAACAACTTCTTTGTTCACGGAAGATAAATTCTACATTAAGCGGCGATTAACAGTGACGAATTTAGCAAAAATCCACGCTATATACTTCAACGACCGTCCGTATCGGTACTAACGAATGAAATTATCCAAGAGTGCATATCGAAAGATATATCTTGAGATAATGGTTGATTACAGCTCTTTTCCACCAGTGATGTGAGCATATATAGACCGTGTTGGCTCTGATTTTAATACCGCTTAATATGAATTTTCAAAAGGTTCATAACAAAAAACAAAAACTATCAACTGAATGTTAATGACATTACTGCGAAACTCAGCATATCACGATGTTAGACTCAACATTTCTATATTTCATTATACTAGTAAACAAATAAAAAATTTCTTGTCATAACATCAACCAAGTAAGGCTGGTTTTAGTCATTTTTGCTCACTCAATACAAAAATATCAATAAAAATTATATAACATGTACAACCTTTTTGTTATTGAAATATTGATCAAGACGTTATTTTTAGTGGAAATATCTTTTATTCTCCTTCGATCGCTTTCACATCGCGGGATAGGCTTAGAGTTTTCTCCCTCATATTATTTTCACATCGCAAGACGGGTTTCGAGTTTTCTTTCTCATAAAAAATGACGTGCTATCACTTTTTGAAAATCAGCATACCGGAACACGCTTTAGCGTATCGTATTTGAAAGACGGCATTGCTAAAATTCCTTAATATCTGTTACGAGAATATGATATTCTATGACATGTTTTACCTCTCTTATTCGACGTGGCGACCTGATTCTTCAGACATTGCAGGCAGAAAGTATGCTGACACGGCGTTATTTTGGGCGACTTAAGCCTCTCCTTGCATATTGGGCACTGCAATACATCCTCATTTGCTCCGTTTGAGGCTTGTCTGTTACGGAATGAAGAAACGGTAATTAACGACCGCCGAATCCTGATAATTACGAGAATTCCAACGGAGAGCTTGTCGCAGTAATATATCGCTATAAATTGATTGTACTTGTGTTGACGCATGATCTGCCTCCTTGACGAAGGGATTTGCGGATCCGCCGTTCTCCCAGGAACAGCGGAAGTTTTTCTCGCTGTTCCTCGAGTCTCTTGCGTCGACGAGATCGCCGGTTGTTGTTGTTGTTTCATCGTTGTTTCTCACAAACGTCCGGGCTATTTATTCACAAAGGAACCACCGAGAAGAGCTGTCGCCTTTTTTTTTAAATACCTCGGTAATTCGACTACCGATTTATATGTCGCGATTGCACAGTGTGAGAATAATTTTTCATGCGATGTGTGGAGTCTCGAAATTATACGTTATAAGTTTCCACTAATAACGGCATTTCTGTATCCTATTAAATGGCAAGGAAAAATGGAAATATCACTACAAAGTCTGCTTAACAAATCACAAACATCGATACGATGAAACCAATTTACACCCCACTACCTATAAGCGTAACCAAAGTTCGTTTTGATTTCGCGTTCCGCAGATCGCGAATAATCCACGAAGTTTCGTAAACAATTGCGTGAAATCGCGCGAAATCCCACCGTTCCGGTTTCATTCAGATTACGTTGGTCAAAAATAGAAGATAATAATACTCTCGCCCAGTGTGTATCGCGATGATCGCGGATGTCTAACTGATATATCGCTGGGCTGATATAAAAAATATAAGAAACGCGCGTTTTATCACACATCCCGCCCGTCAAATAAATAAAATCGAATCACTCGTGGCGATAAGATAAACATTCAAAATCTATCACCCGCTATTCATGAATGAGGATCAAGAACCTCCGTGGGCAAGTCGTGTGTTCGATGCCGAGAATATGGAATTTGACTTCAGCTGAACCTCACTTATGGAGATTCGAAACTTGCGTGTTAGAATACACATGGCGAGGCAATAATTATTATCACCGTGAATATCTTCGAAATATGAAAGTAGGAGGAACATTTATCGAACGAAAATTGATGGTCATCACTTCGAACACCTCCTGTAAATACGAACTTTTATCGTCCTCATCTAACCGTTAATAAAATATTGTTAATTATCCATAAACATTAATTAACTAACCAATCATCATAATTTCCCACTCAACAATAGAAGTATAATATAACGCATGTTGTACGCAATAGTTACATTGTTGAGCGAGAAATTTATAATATTGATATAATATTGTCGTTCACTTAGAGTAAAAACTGTGTATGTTATATTAGTAGATTTCGTAACAAGTGTATAATAGAAAATATACCGTACGATGTAACCACGTTGTACTTCACCGCGTCCACGGTTTGGCCATCTTTGGTCCATCGGCCTGAAGTAAACGGCGGACTAGCTTGACGAGACCTCGCGCAGATCGCGCTCGCGATCGCGTCGCTACTATGTTCACGTGGGTCCACCTGGGTTCTGTGTTTTGTTTCTACAATAGTCGCATCGCGTCGGTCGCGTCGTACCTCGAAGAAAAAATCTCCGGGAGGACGATGACACGCAGTATCCCGCGGGGTAGCGTCCGATGGGTGACTCGAACCAGGTGATACGACGACGCGGCAACAAAGAGACGCTTACCGATCATGTTCACGTAATTGTTAACCTCTCTCTCTCTTTCTCTCTCGTGGACTTATCCGTCCCAAAAAAGGTATCCCGTCGATTTCGACAGCAAATCGCCGCAATCAATCGGGAACGAATTGGACCGCCTTAAATTACGATAAATTGATGAACGAATCGGCAAAAGTGAAGAGGAGGTGTGTGTCAATTAGGTAAAGTACGCGAAGTCTATTGTAATCTTGCTTGTCCAAGAGATTTCTACTGAAACGTTATTTTTTTTTTTTTTCAAAACTCACACAGAGATTCGCTCGTCCTTTCAGATTAGCGGAATAAGGGACGCGGGTTAAATGCCCTTGTTACGCAAGGTGTTGCTGAACCTGACACTCCTTGCATTGCTCTTGGTGGCTTTCTACTACTATGAGACATCCAATGGCAGGCGTTGGATCGTACCTAATCCACGAGCAAGAAATGCGAGCTTGCCGAATCTTACATCCGCCTTAGCAGCGGCCAGCTACACCACGGACATCAATTATTCGTCCTCGATCATCAACGTCTTGCAGCAAGAACGTATAAACTACTACAACATCTGGTGTATCTTCACCAAAGTTACCTCAAACTCGCCCATGAGACGCAAGTTTCAGATATTTATCAACTCCCTGCTCGGACTAACTTCTGTGGACATCGCTTTTCACGTGATAAGTGACGACGACAGCCGGAGCATAGCGGAAACTGTCATTCAGGATGTTATGACTGGAACTGGAAAGTTTATGGAGGTATATCCTTCGTTTCTAATTATGACATATGTTTCTTTTGCGTGAACTTAACTACCAAACATTAAGTATGTTCTCGTATACGTGTTGCCCAATCGTTAAAATTTTCCAATTGTTATTTAGCATATAATAATATAGATTCAAATATATGAATATATTCTGTTACTTGTATGTGTGTATTTGCAATATCGCAATATCTATCTTATAATATTGAAGCTTATTTGTATATTGAAGCTCATTTTTTGTATATTGAAGACAAATAACTCTCTATTTATCGATTTTCCAGGTGTTTTATTACGATGTGCACAAACTGGCCACTCAACTGGAGGATATCGTGTCGGTTATGTCGCCGCACTTCAGCAGCAAGCCAGGGACGTACTATTCCGACGCGTTGTTCTTCCTCTCGCTGGGCCTGCACAGGATCGCGCCGAGCGACCAGAAGCTCGCAGCGATGTTCGACGCGGACACGAAATTCCGCCGGGACGTGAAGGATCTGTTCGAGGAGTTCCGCAACTTCGGCGAGGACGCCCTGTTCGGCCTGGCGCCGGAGCTCACTCCGGTCTACCGCCACGTTTTGTACATATATCGCAACAAACACCCGAACACTTTGTTCGGCGAGCCCCGGCACAAGGGCGGATATCCCGGCTACAACAGCGGAATGGTGCTCTTTAACTTGGAAAAATTACGAAAGTCGCTCGCCTACAATGAGATCGTTGGCAAGAAGAACGTGGACGCGATGACGGAGAAGTATCACTTCAAGGTGAGTAAAAATCGCCTCACGGCGATTGTCACAATTTACACGATCGAGAAAACAAATTGACGTGCACGCATTTAAGAATCGCCTCAAGTATGATTGCATACTGATGTTCGGAGAAATGTTTATGGAATATTCCATATTCCTGCCGTATTGTTGATATAATGATATTCGTCGGGAAGAATGAATCGATCATTATTTGATCACGTTGCAGGGCCACTTGGGCGATCAAGATTTCTACACGCTTCTCGGTATGGAAAGGTCGGAGCTTATCTACACGGTCGATTGCGGATGGAACAGGCAGCTCTGTACCTGGTGGCGTGATCGCGGGTACGCAGATATATTCGCGAATTATTCGGAGTGCCATTCGGAGACCAAGCTGTGGCATGGAAATTGTAACACTCCCATACCTGACGATTAGCCATCATCCCCAATGATACGGTACACGCATTGAACACTGAATATGTGAGAGATCCTTCTCCAATTCTAGATTTAATGTAAACAAGACGGTGCTAAGACGTGAGGCGGCAATCTACAGACTGAAAACGTAGCGGAATTCTGGGCGAGATAATGTAAGACAATTCGTTCGTAGGTTAATCGATAGATCTAAGTAATTCTAACTTTACCTGAGTTAATAATTGCAAATGGAAGATGTATTATCTTTTCGTTTTTCTTTTTTCCGAGTTGAATAGAGAGAAAGAATCTCGTTAATGGTAGGATACGATATTGTTACATCAAGGGAAAGGCAGAATAGCAAATTTCAACGAGAAATTTGGGTTCTGCTTGTAAGTATAAACATCTCACGAAGTGCTCACCTTTAGTATTGAAGCCCGTTCAGCAACTTTACGGGGCTTATCGAAGATCTGTTTTAATGGCAATATTAACACATTCGTAGCCGCTGATGTTTTCTTCTTTTTTTGTTTTTAATCTACAGCTGATTGTCGCCGATGCGGTATTATTAATATTTTTATATAATAGTGTTTATTTTTGCTTTTACGTAAAAAAGTCCAATTAATTTCTTCAAGAATTAAGTAATAAATTTCAAAAGTTTTCTAAAATTCTAACATTTCCTATGTTCATGATTTAACACTTTTTCCGTTTGGATTTTGTAACGGATAAAGTTTCTTCAGTTTCAAATGACAAGTAGTTACAAGCATATCTTTGAACAAGCTTTTATTCTTATTTTAACGACAGAACTCTGCGACAATCAGCTACAGATTTAAGTCTGTTGTATCGAGTTTCCAGTTTTAGAAAGATGAGAAACAATTACCGGTTGCGAAGATGTTAAATCAGACGTTCTTCTGAAGCTGTGATGTACCGTTGCAATATGTACACTTCATGTCTTCATGCCCTCCTCTACGGAGGTGATGTATTCCTATGTTAATGATGTACCTAATAGTTTTATATCACGAATGATTTCTGTAGGATTCATTCATTATCTCGCGTATTCGAGTATTTTGGGTGTATCCTTGCGATATTACATCCCGAATATGTTACGACATCGGGGATTATTGCATAGAAACCATTAAGTGTAATCTTATGCTAGGAAAACGTATGTTTTATATTTGCGTAGAAAGGAAGATAATCAATTTTTGATGGGAAGATCGACGCAGTTACGGTTTAAAAGTACTTTCAGAAAGAGATACTCTGAGATTGAAAATACCTTTAAATCTAACATTGAAACGTATGGGTGCTACGAAGCCTGGAAAGTACGAAGTAACACGCAGTTTATACGCGTGCACGTTATAGAATGGTGCTATTTTTCACAAACGATATACATTCTACATAAAAAAAAAAGAAAAGACCGCGTATATACGGCGTTCGAATTATATTTTTCTACCTGAACATATATCGAGAGGCAGGTTGTTTCCGAAAAGCGCGCGCGAAAGCGAGGTTGTCTAATGCTACTGATAAGATTTAGCAAATTCATTGTTATAACTTTAATGCGACTATAAATTATAACATATAAATAGTGTGTATGTGTGTATGTGTGTGTGTGTAAGGAAAAGATATTAAATACAATATATATATATATATATATATATATTGACATAATGTGTGTGATATTTACAATACGTCCATCAGCGTACCATTCGTCGCAACTACTCGAAATGCCGCGAAGTCGCAAAACGTGTTAGCAGATGAATCGGTCAACTCGTCGCTCTGCGACAACGACGGTCATCTCGTCTCGGTGACAACTTTAGATCTCTCGTTTGCCACGCACTCTGTCGAGTGTGAGGAAGTGCATGCTTACATCTCAAAGCTAGAACAATCAGTAGTATTTAGTGACTTGAACATGAAATAAACTTTCACACTGAGGAGAATATACCATGGAGAGGACCATATTCGCGCCTTGAAAAGATAAACAAAAAATATATATATATATATATATATATTTATAGATTTTAATCAGCTATTAAAAGTACGATTGAAGAAGGTAGAAAAGGATATCGCTTAACAATATGTGATATCAATCCTATTCCATAAGAAACGCCATGTTTTGAGTGTTGGTAATATGTTACTTTTCTACTCTCTCTCTCTCTCTCTCTCTCTCTCTCTCTCTCACTCTCTCTCTCTCTCTCTCTCTCTCTTTCTCTTCGTCTCTCTTTTTCTCGTGGCAGAGTGACACCGATTGCTCTTTCTTCGCTCTGAGAAAGTGATGAATCGCAGACGCTGTCGCTCCGAGAAACGGAACGGTACGCATCCTGTGGCCCTGGTATACAAGCGCTCTAACGACGATGAGAAAGCTACGTAGCTGTCTCAGCTTTTCCGAGAAACGTAATTATTATTATGCCGTAAGGAATTAAAATATAAACGGTTTCCGTACTTGGATAATGCCAACAAAAAGAAAACAACAATTTGTATTCGGACACGTACGAGAGCGCGATGCAACCGACGTCGCGTCGTGCGTCCGATACGGTGCCCACATGGAGGAAAATAAAAGTCGCTCGACGTTAAATTAAGTAATAACACCCTCCTCCCGGGTGTGTGTGTGTGATCGTAGATCAATCCTACGCACCATCATCATCATCATCAAAGATCCAATCGCGCGGGTTCCGATTCACGCAACTCAATTGACCAGATTTAGGGAAAGGACTATTCTCGGCACGGTACGATAACGCGTATTCTAATACATCTCTAAATTCGTTGTACAATACGTAAAATAAGATGTCACCTTTGGTCCCGTTCATAGAAACTTACTTACAAATTAACTGCGAGTTAATTGTGTATGTTAGTCTCGGCATTAAATCGCTTATTAGTAGTATTCCGATATTCGCGATCCGTCCACGACTAACTTTGGTATTATATTTGTGTGTGTGTGTGTGTGTGTGTGTGTGTGTGTGTGTGTGTGTGTGTGTGTGTGCGCGCGCGCGCGCGCGTGTGTGTTTTTTTATCAGTATACACCGCACCAAAGCTAGGGTCGAATGGTTTTACCGAACTGTGTAAAGGGAATTAATCTCTCTCTCTCTCTCTCCCTCTCTATACCTTTTCGTATTAATTGATGAGCAATGTCGGATTCATGACTATTCAAGTAAAGGTATCTTCTCCTCTTTCTATATACGATCAAGCGCAAACAATATATACATTTCCCATCGCCTCACGGCAATCTTGGCTGCCTCAGCATATTTCTCTTTTTGTACATCGTATTTACATGACCAACGTGGAGCAACATATCATCGGACTCCATCCCGGTATTCGAGAGAAGATATACACAAATGAGAGATGTAACTCTAGAGAAGTCTCGCAGTATCTTCACTAATATCGCATTGGTGGACCTCTCTTTGCTCCACGTTGAATGTTGACGCAAAAATCGCAAATACCTTTCTCTATTCCGGCGAATATATTACACGTAGAACATGTAAATGCCCCTCAAAAATATTTTTCATTCTTTTCTTTTTAATATCGTTTAAAATATATATTCTTACATCAACCCTAAAATACTACTAGGAAAATCAAATGATATCAAACAAAAGTTGATTACTTAGTGTCACTTAGCTACTAATAATAATATATATATACGAAAAGATAAGACAGAAATGTACAAATATAAAAGAAATGTACAGATATAAAAGAAATAACACGAGCCGAGTGACTCGTATTCCATTTTTGAAAGAACGTCCTCATAGTAGTACTCCAGGGTCAAAGGCAATTTTTTTTAATGTTTTTTTTTGCATATACCTTTCGTAAAACAGAAAATCTTCCAAATGGAACTAAACACATCCAATAATCTGGTGAAACGAATAATATAAATTTGTATCCGACGAAAGAAATAAAAAAAGAAGTTAGCGAATCTTGAAGCACTTCCGCCCCCAAGTGGACTCTTCGCTCTACTCAGTCTGCTCCGTGAATGCTTTCGTGAGGATTGCGCGTAAACTAGAATCTCTCCGTAGTCTGAAATAGAAAATGATTTTCAGAAATCAGTCAACTGTTTATACCATTTTATCGTCGTATTTAATTTCATTATTGTACACGTGGGCGGTCAAACTGAGCCAGATGCGTGCACAAATGAATGTTTCGCTTTTATCTGAAGCACTGGCGCTTTCAATACCTTCCCTCCACCACATATTCTTGGATTTAGCAAAGTAGCGTTAATAACACTCGAGAATCTCCATTCTGCTAAGACTCTTACGGAATTAGACGGCTTCTACACAACGACGTACTTACACTCTTTAACTTTCCGCGTCCACCAAAGTTCCGGATGGACTCCAACAGCATATCCCTCGGGTCCGCCTCAGCCGGCATCGACTTGGGTCTCGCGCTGGCACTCTTCAGCGTCACCCCTGTGATCACGGGCATGGTCGGCGGCTTAGGTGGTTGCGCGTTCTTCCTGGGGCCGTCGACCGTCGACAGTCCGTTTTGGTTCACCTGGCCATTGCTCGTCGTCTTGGCGTCGTTGACGGGTATCTTGAAGCCCTTCACGACAGGCATCGGCTGACTGATCTTCGCGTTGTTGCTGCTGCTTCGGAGAACCACCGTTTCGTTCTGCTGGCCGAAGTTCTGGCCGTTCACGCCCACGACGGACGTGAACTTCCTCAGCCGGGAACTCGGCTGCGTGCCGTTCGTCAAGCCTTTGTACGGCAGGTTCTCGTTCTCGGCCCTCGCGAACTTGGCGTGACCGTTCTGCTTGACACCCGTATCCGTCTCCTCCGGCTGCCCACCGTCCACGGAGAAGTGTCTGTTGACGTTGGCGCGTTTAGGCTTCGGTTTAAAATTCACGTGCTGACCGAACGTCTTTGTCAATTCCTTGAAATTCACCGGCGTGGTATCGATCTCGCTCTCGCCGTTCCTCGACGGTTCCCGCACCTCGACGAAGCTCTTCTTCAGCTCGACGGCCGTCACGACGGGCCGGTCCTCCTCCGGCCGCCGGTCGGAGTCGACGAGGACTCGATTCGACGACGACGGCTTCTTGAAACCGGTCGCCGTCGTGTGCGTGATCAGCGACCTCTGCGTCAGCTCGTCGCGAGCCTTAGAGTCGATCTTGATCTCGTGCTTGGCTTGGTTGTGCCTGCCGCTGATGTTGTTCGTGTAGTGAGCGGAGTCCGTCTCCTCCTTCGCGCCGTTGATGCTCACCACGGTCTTGCTGCCGCTCGCGTTGCTCCTCCCTAGCTTGTAATCGGTGTCCATCTTGATTTGGACGTTGACGCTGGGTCTTTCCGACCAGCTGCCCAGACTGATCGCCGGCGGGCCGGTGTAAGTGTAACGTTTGATGCTCTCTTCTCTCGACGGCTGCTTGCACTCCGACGTCTCCGTATCCCGAGATTCGCGTGTCGAAACTACATTCGTCTTGCTCGAATGCTCGTTGGACCCAGCCTCGTGTCTGTCGGGGATTGATTTCGTCAGTGAACAAATATATTAACGAACCAACACTTCTCACGACATCGAATTTACACATTTGTAATATTTCTTTTTTTAGGTAATTTTATATTATAATATTATAATGTTTAATATTTTTATATTCAGCGGACCGGAGATGAAACCCCAAACATTAGTCGAAACGTTTCGAGTTTTATTGTTAAACATATCTCGCTAAATTTTAGTATAAAAGTTTTTACGATTACAGATTGCAAATCTGAAGTCGGAATCTAAAAAGTTTAAATAGCGGATTCAATATGACAGCCAAATTGAAAACAAAGATTTACCATGGCTAATTTGTAATATTTTATACGTGAGTTTTTATTCCCCTAATTTCAAGTCTGCGGTCGAAATTTGAAATATAAAATGGCGGATCCAATATCGAAGAAATTTTCGCTACTTCTTAACGAAAAAGTTACGTTTTTAGCATAAACCATAATCATCGACGAAGATGTAGCAAATTTCTAGTTCCATATTATTCCTTTTATTTAAAAAAAATTTCATATCTTCAATTATTTAACTTCTTTATTTTTATTAATTTTTTGATTATTTCATTTTAAATTATTTCGATTATTTTACTTTAGAAGATTGATTTGTAAATTTCATACGTGAGGAAAGGAAGAACGATACTCACTTCGTTTTTTCGATTAATAAGGCACTGTTGTATTCTTTGGACACATTTTCTTCCGCCTGTTGAGCGTTCTTCAACTGCGGCAAAATGCTTTTCAGCACCTGTGTGTGCGCGCGTTTAAGCCAAAATATGATAATTATTCACCAAACATTAGCAATTAATCAATGTAATTCAATATCCTACACATTAGACTATCATAACAGGCTATATAAATTATAGCTCATCGTAGCAATAAGTTGGTCGACCAATAAAGCATTACTATTATCGTTACACAATAAAAAGAACATTGAAATTCAAAACGGATACGATTTACGAAACGAAATCTATCTTGAGCAGTGTAACAGCATACCGAGAATAGCGCGACTTCTGCGAATACGTTTACGCGAATTAAATCCGCATACTCCTCCCCCGCTCTCTCCCTCAAGTACACTTCGACCAATTCCACTTGTATTCGACCGCCCCTTCACTTCTCTCCTCGAACACGGCAGAGCCGGATTTACCCTACGCTCCGAGTCGACCAGCAGAGCCGAATTACCTGCAATGATTGTAATTGCTTCTCTTTGGTAGATTCCTCTTGGCGTTTCAATATGTTGTCCCTCCATTGCGAGAACTTCTCGTTCGTCCTCGGCGCGTCGACGACGTTCAGGCTGCTGACGCTCGTGGCCTTCTTCATCGCGGCGGCGGCCTCCGGCGCGTCGACGCGCGGCTCGTGCTTTCTCTCGTTCACCGGCTTCGTCTGGTACTTGGCGTAGTTCGTCGCCGATACGTAGCTCTTGGACCGCTGCACGTTGCTGGCTTTCTCGTGGTTGGCCGCGTTGAGAGCCTGCCACCTGTTGTTGCACGGCGGCTCGTCCTGCTCCCAAATCTTTGGCTCCGTTTTGCGCTCGGCGGCTTCCTCGGCGGCTTTCCCCCTCGCGGTGATTCTGTTGTCGTGCGACGAGGCCACGCCATTGGTCAGCCAGCCGGGGTTCCTCGCGGCGCTGCTCTTGTTCTCGTGCGCGTTGCTCCTCGACAGCGTGGCGAACGTCTTGATGAATCTCTCGTCCGAGCTCCTCGCGTAATCCTCGGACTCCTCGAACTCCTCGAAGATGTCCAGGCTCTTCTGCTTGGTGTACGTGGTGATGGTGAAGTTCGACAGGGTGTTGTCGACGGGCGCGATTTTCGGTGCGGACACGTTGTCCAGATCTCTCCGGTCCGAGTCTTTGCCGATCGCCTGGGCCAACGTGCCGCTCTCGATCTTGTTCTCCAGCTCCGAAATCATCTCCTTCCGCGGGTCTGCGCTAGCTTCCGACCTGGCTGGGACGCTCGTGGACGCTGCCTTGGCGGCACTCTGCTTACTCGCCGCTCGCTTCGCGTCGTCGTCGACCTCCGTCTCGGGCACCGTTTTCGCGCTCGTGGCCTTCCTCGTGGCGCGGCTCGCGTCGTCCAACGGGCTCTTCGGTAGCCTCTGCTTCCTCGAGCCGTCGCAACTGTCCGTCGACGGGTGGATCACCAGCGGCTCCTTGAACGCTTCCACGGAGCCGAGGGTGACCGTGTCGTAGTCGTCGAAGACGGGCGACTGGGAGTCGCGGAAGGCGCTCGGCGGCGCCGGCAGCTGGTACTCCCACTCGCTGATGGACAGGTCCTCGCCCATCGCCGACACGTAGTCGGAGGTGTCTTGCTGCGAAGTCATGTTCGGGGTGCTCGAGCTCAACGTGCCCGCCGGGAAGTCCATGCACGACGACCTCGAGACCTCGTTCGACTGGTCCTTCGAACTGCAGCTGGAAGCGAGCTTGGCGTCGATCGTCGCTCGCACGGACGCGCCGCCCGTGTACTCCAGCTGCGGCGGCTCCGAGGTCAACGGCAACGCACTCGACAGGGTGTCCGACACCTTCTGCAGCAGGATGTCGGTCTCAGACGGTGTGACCTCCTTGGCTGCTGCTGGTGAACATGCGAACAGGTGAGCTCAGAGAAAGGTGGGTTTCGAAGGTCGACCGACCTGTGAAACCGCGATCGGCCCGGAACGGCTTTCCAGCGTGTTTGTACACGCAGAGAATCTTTCTCGAAGATACAACTTTTTCACAGAGCGCAAAAGTATCATAGCAGTCTCGTCCGGCTAGGATGTACTTGTACAATGTCGAAAACATTGCAAGGAAATATGGGAAATTTTGAGAATGAGGGATGCGCGCAGAAACGATGTTCCCCAAGAAGTATGGAACTTTTTCAGTGGCATTGAAACACGTGCGAAAAAAATTCCCACGCGAATGCATCTTTCACAAATATGGCGTACATCGTTTTAATGTTAATAAAAATTTGGTAGGTTAATTTTTAATTATGTGTAAATATTGACATCTCCGTAATGAACGATAAGATTACTTTTCTGATATTTTCCTATATATATATATATATATATGTGAGAAATTTATATACCATATCAGACTAAAAAATATGTCTGATCAAACTATTCTTTTATTGCTGTCATACATAAATTAAAACCTAGTAAATCATATCATTAGCATGTTAATCAACAAAAATTTTCTGCGTGTACAAGTCGTTGTGAAGTTCTTTGGGATTTTCAGTTAATCGGAAGTGGAAGTTAACGACACTTGAAATGACGAATTCGAAGTTGCTCCATGAGAAAATAACGAGTGAGTATTAACGCAGGCGGCGAAATGTGAGAAACTTTTATCTCGGCGCGATCTTTCTCATATCGTTGTGTGTGTGTGTGTGTGTGTGCGCGCGCGCGCGTCGTAAAACGAGAAATAATTGGCACGATATGTCAGAATGCGATAAGCACGAGAGTGTAACTTAACAACTTGGAAATGTAAAACTGAACAGTGTAAGAACTGAACAACTTGAAAACGTCAACGTCACGTACATGATGAAAACAGCAAAGTTTAGTATTTCTGAAAGTATCTCCACCAACAAGATGTTAAGCTTATCAAATTTACGAGCAAATTGTGTATGATATATAGACATAGAGAGTATAAGAAAATATTGAGTTGTATTAAACGATATATACACGAAGATCGAACGTGTATGTGTAGAAAGTTATTTCAATTCACACATGCAGGTAACCATCACCTTCTACAAGCGGATATTACTCAGATCTATTCGCACACACAAACTCGTGAAAAGAATATTCCGATTTCTCGGGCTGTCAAGCAATCGTAAATTAATCATGAATATTACCTGGGCGAGACGTTAACACTTTCAGTCTTAGATCTATTAAAAAACCAATTAATTTAATTCCCAATATTTGGTGCCGATAACTCTAGAATTGTGCATCTAACCCTCGAATCTATACAACGAGAATTCCAAAATATTTTCCCCCTGCATGAAATTATATCCTCCCACAAAATTGAAAATAACGTGCCGTAACAACGCCGTGATTAATTAATTATTTCAGTGACTATTCTGCCGCGACGCGGCAGAACGCGAGACTGAAAGGGCTAAGAGCTCACGGAACGGACGAGAGAAAGAGAGAAAGAGAGAGAGGGAGTTTTAGAGAGAGAGAGAGAGAGATCGAGATAAAACGTTAGTAGTACAGCGACATGCACCTGTGACTAATCCACCGCACGACTCTCCGTTATCTACATCCGCATCCCTTGTACCATTAGCCGCGCCGGCCTGTTCCTTCTCCCCCGCGAGGCTCGAGGACACGGAGGTTCGCGTGGGTTCAGGTAAGTGCAGGTTCAACGCGTACACAATGTCCTCCGGAGGCGAGGTGAGGTGTCGCCTCTGCCTCTCCAGGCTGTCCATCTGGAAGTCGTCCGACTTGGACTGGCTTCGGATCACCTTCGAGCGTTTAGCGCTCCTCATGTTAACGCTCGGCTCCTCGTCTCCTCCGCCATCCTCCGCATTCTTCGTCGCCTGTGGACGCTCATCGGACCGATGATGACGGTCCGTCGACGCGACGTCGCGTTTCGCACAGGTGAAAGTGCTCACATGCGAGACGTCGTGTTCCTTCAGGGCGTCGAGACGCTCGCACTTCGGTATGGTGGAAATTACCGTGCAGGTTTCCCTGCTTTTGCCGAGGACGCCGCTCTTCGTCGTCACGGCGTCCCCCGGATGAACGTTCCTCTCGCGGGCCGTCTTCCGCGGCGACCTGGCCGGCCTTTCCGGGCAGGCGGATCGGCGACCCGTTCGTTCCTCCGGCTGGCGATCGCTCACACTCTCGTTCGGACTGTCGTCCTCCGATGACTTGCGCGTCGACGAACCGGCCTCTCGCTTCTCGGGCGTGACTTCGAGCGACGACGTGTCCCCCGATGACACGCTCCGATCCGCAGAATTGGGACTCGACTCGCACATGGCGTCTGCGTGACTCGAAGGTCGATTCGTGAGGTCCTCCGCTGCAACGTCGTCGGCAACGCTCAGCGCTCCTTCGTCGCTCCTTCGGCCCGTCTCGTCCTCCTGCGGAGATTCGTCTTCGGTTCCGGCGCGCGCCGGTCCCGGGGATTTCCTGCCCGATTCGACGCCGCTCTCCATTTCCTCGTGACTCGAGGATGCGTCATCTTCAGCCTTGACGTCGTTGATAGTTTTCGATAACTTTCTCCATCGCTGGCCCGTCTTATCCTCGTCGACGGGCGCGCACTTGTCTCCCGTTGACTTCGAGTGCGCCTCTTCTTCTCTCTCGACACGCGCGGCGAGAGCACCTTCGCCGTCCACCGTGCTCTTGAAACTCGAAGCGGAGCTGGGCTGTACTTTATCGACCTGCTCACGGCTGCTCGTGGGCTCGTCGAGCGATAAACCGTGCGCGCTGTCGCGCTCCACGCTCAAGGTTCTCGGCAGTGCCAAGGGCGCGACTTCGGCTACTTTGCGTTTAGGCGCCTTCGGAGCTATCGGAGAGCTATTAGCCGCGATAATCTTTCGAGGCATGGGAAGGGGTGCAGGTTCTCCAACTAGTCCGAATAAAGAAAAGAAAACTACCGTCACCGAGAGAACACAAGCTGATGAGAAGCGGGTGGGAGACTGAATACGGGTGTGTAACTACGGGGGATACACCTGGGAGATAACTGTCGAATTGCGTGCAACGAGGCTACATTTCACTGCCCGGGAGTCCTGGCAGGGGTGCAAAATTAGCTTTCAGTGTAAAGTCGTGTCCGCCTTGTCCTCTTAACGCTCGTAAGACTTGGAGTCGTTCCTCAAATATTTTGTTGCGAGAAAGAGAAACGTAAAAGGACAGCAAGTTGAAATGTTATAGTGTAACGGATTAATGAATATTATATATTTGACGAGAGAAGGCTCCCAAGTATAAATCGCATAATAATGTCAAATTTATACAGATCGGTTATTTGGACAATCAAAAAGTGAAATTTACAATTTATAAGCCCAAATGTTTGCAATATAAGCGGAAACAAATGTCAAGTTTTTATACATTCATCAAGTTTTTGCCTATTATCAATTTTTTATTGCACCAAATTTTTTTACCGTGTGCGTTCCAAGTATAGAAAAGTTTTTTTTTATCATTTTTAAGAACTATCGACATAACAGATCTGTATTATATGTTTGGCATTATTAAGCGATTTACACTTAGAAACCTTCCTTTATCAGAGAAAAGATATCTAATAGCTCAATAATATTTACTCAATGAATATACAAATAACATGTTTGTTTAAATTTAAATTCTTGCATTCAAGTAAAATAAACAAATGTTTTCATGAAAAACTACAGTTCTAGGAAAATGTATATTCTGTTATTTAAAGAAATAGTTTTTCAGTAGAAAAACATTATATTAATATAAATAAGCGTATTATTAGAATCGAATAAATATTTTTAATTTCTTAAGTATTTTTTTCTCTTAGTATAGTAATGTATAATATGTAACAGAGATTGATAATGTTGAAATTACTGGTAGAGTTGCTCTTTTTTATTCTTCAATTTGGTATAACTAACAGCTGAGAAAGCTAAGCGACTCCAAACCTTCTCTTGACATACATATACAGATATACATTCAATATAGAATAATGTTTCACGGATAAAATCAATCAAAAACTTTCCAACGGTTTAAAAAAAACAAAAAACAAAAAGATAGCGTAGTCGAAGACGGTGAAGGTGGCGGTTTATATCGAATACGCGCGCAGCGCTTCGGAGATGTTTACTCTCGAAATAAAAATTCGAAATTTCACCGGGACACTCTCTCAACTCTCTGGAAAACTCTGATAAATTGCGAGAGGGAAAAGACATTCGGAAAAAAAAGAAAATAAACCAAATAAAAAAAAATCAATCTAACCTACAGTTGGCGAAAGCAAAAGAACGCAATATCCTATTCGAGCGCGCGGCATTAATCGTCCGGCAAGTTTCACACGAATTCGCCGGCCCGACTCTCGAGGATCGAATTCAGCTGGACGAGGAAACGATTCCAGCTGTCGTTCGACTCCTGCCGGCTGACCAAGAAGCCGGGCGGCGGCGGCTCCAGAATGCTCAGTTTTCTCAGCCCCGGTCTGCCCCCGTTGTGACTTATGATGGGCAACGACGGCAGCTCGTCGATGTCGCTCGGCACGGAGCCCGTGGGCGCCGCTTGAATGTCCGACGGCCCGGTGGAGATCGCGAATATCTGCAGAGTGCTCAACGGCGGAGGGGACAAGTTGCTTTCCGCGCGGGAGCGCTCCGTTCCGACGCGCCGTTCTTCGCGGCGGCTGCTGCGCTCGTCTCTCGGCCTGCCCGATTTCGGAGAACGACTGGCGGCTCCGAACGAGACCGGCGTCCCCCGCGAATACCCCGAGCGAAGACTCCTCGATGTCGTTAAGGCCGGCTGAGCTCCCCTCGCGCCGTCCCGGAAGCTTTTACTCTGCGCCGTGACCTTCCCGCGACATCTGTCGCGACGCGCGTAACTGTCGTTGCGCGAAAAACCCGGAGAACATCTGCTGCTTTTTAGCACTTCGCGCCCCGAGGTGTCCGCCACCGTGTGCGATTTCTTCGACGGTCTCTCGCTCGCGTGATTATCGGAAGAAACGGACGTTACATCGCGAGCATCGCGCGAAGAACGGAGGCTCGTGAGAGCCCGGGCCTGCCGACAGATCCGCGGCATTTCGCCCTTCGCGTGCCGAATACGACCCTCGACGGCGATGCCGAACGAGACGTCAGGATAAGACGCGAAGGAGGTCACGGGACGATCGTCGTAATCCCGGCGGTAGCTCCGGCTAGCGGCGCGCAGCAACTCGCTCCCCTCCGAGAGCCTGTGCTTCTCCGAAGCGAACGTGGCGGCGCGCGGTGTCCTCCTCGCGAACACCTGCATTCGCGGATTCGAAGCGTGCGAACTATCGGCGCTACTGTGAGCCAGCTTACCTCTTTTGGCCGCTACTCTAGCTTGCTCTAGCCTCGGGGCTGCTTCTACGGGCGCGACTGGCGCTTCCGGGTCGGCGAGGAGCTTACGGTCTACGACCGGGTCTGACTTAATGGAACGCGCCTCGGGGCTCTGCTGAGGAACGTTGGACGTCGTCACGGCGGCTTCTGCGCGCGGCTTGCAGCCCGCAGACCGGCGCATCGACTGCGTGCTGACGCCGATGTCCGAGCTGGCCTTTGGACAGTCGATGTCCGAGCTCGCTTTGGAAGGCGCGCCGATGTCCGACGGTGGCTTCGACGGATCCATGTCGGACGTGAGTGACTCCTCCGAGTCGACGATGCGCTCCAAGGCCTGCGTGGAAATAGCTGACGAGAGCGGTCGCGGCGCCGGCGGGGGAGGAGCGGCTCTCTTCTTTCGGAGACCTGTGCAAGCGCGATTCGAGCGATTACCGAAATATCGCCAGTGGAGTCTTTTCTCACGTAACAAAAAGAAAGCGATATATCGTGAAATTGTTCAAGTTTTTTTTTTTAAATATGTGAGATTAAAGATAAATATGTAAGGGTGTGTATAAAGAAATGTACTGAGTGATTTTGTAAGAAATGTATGAAATGGTGCGCGCTCTCACTGCTTTCGTTTTACATTTTTGATATCCTGCGGATATCGTGTGTGTCGGTTTTGGGATCTAGTTTCTACGAGCGCCAATTCCCAAACATCTTGAAAAATAGTCATTTGCAAGAAAATACGTAATGATTTTCACAAGACTATCATTTTCGCGAAGAAGCGTCGGCTGGCACCTACAATAGGATTTTCGAACCAAGAAACAGAATGGCACATCAGTCTCGGCGTCTCTCTTCCACTCATGAATTTAATAATTTCATAATCGAAACAACACCGAGCAGTTGGTCGAAGTAGATTTTTCCAGTCTATAATCATCTTTTCTAGTCTATAGATCGTCTAAATAGATATGTAAAAGGTAGGCGCAAACTATCCTTAAGAGCGCCAAAGCGGCATCATGATTTCGACTCGGCGATTGATCTATGCGACGAAGAGCTGGCGTTTGCGCAATGTTCAGCAGTTCAAGCGTTCGTAACGTCGGACAATCAACGATTTTGTTCGCGTGCAAGAGCAAAGAGAGATTCCGCGAGAGCGATCGCACCACTATCTGTACACGCGACGGTCGACCGGTGCGATGAAATCTCTCACCGGTGGAGCTGAGCGAGGTGCTGCTGATTCCCCGAGAGAGCGTGCCGCCACTGGCCGTTGCCGCGGCCGCAGCCGCGAGGTTGCCCAAGCTCTTGCTGGACTGCGAGGTGTGCGCCAATTTCCTGGGGTTGTCGGACGCCCCGGGTGCCTTGCTTCTTCGGGGCAGGGTCTCCGGCAGCCGTGCGGCAGCCGAGTCCGGGTTGTCGCTGAGAACGGAAGCTTCGTGGTAACCCGAGCTGTCGCTGCTATTGCGGCTGTGATTGATCATCATCTTGTCCTTGCTGCTGTCCTGTCCGGGCGTGTCGTCCTGATCGACCGCGTCGGTAGGCGGCTTCGGGGCCGGTCTGCGTTTCCGTTGCGGCCGAGCCGGCGGCTGAAGAGGACTGGCGCTCCTGCCGGTCTCGTCGCTCCTGGCCGGCGACACGCTGCGCCCGCCTAAGCTGTCTGTGCTCACCGAGCTCTCTTTGGACTTCTTGAACATGAAGCCGAACACGCTCTGCTTCGTCTGCTGCCGGCGCCGCTCCTCCTGCCGCTGCAGCGCCATTATGTCCTGCGTGCTGAGCGTCGGGCCGAGGGTCCGCGCCTGCTTCGCGTACAGAGTCACCTCCTGCAGGTGGTAGTCCTGCAGCGACAGCGCCAGGTCCAGCGTCTCCTCCAGGTTGGCTGTGAGAACAGAGAGGAATCCGAATATGAGTGTCCGGATATCACGTGTCGCGATGTCGAAGCTCGTTGATTCGACACGTTCCGTGCCCACGTGGGTGGCGGCCCCCATCAGCGGCCCGCGTACTTATATTCAGACCGTGTTTGATAATTAGCCTCTCAAACGAAATCTAATTACGACGTAATCACGTGATTATGGGAGATTTTGTAAATACCACATTGTTGGATAAACATAATAATAACACCGCAATGTAGGTCTCCGGCGGTCCACGTAGACCTTCTCGTTCGGGCCGTTTGGTAGTTTGGTTCTCGAACGAAACGTAATTATAAAAGAGGGACGAATCAAGAGAAGCAAATATTATTTAACAGATACAACACTCACCGGTGACCCCCGCGCGACGTGTGGACGACACGTCACGTCGAATCGGCACAGAACGCCGGTTAATGATTTCCTAATCGACGCGAAATTGATTAGAAACGCTTCGCGCACACGGCTCGTGAGTGACGATTACGTCACGTTGCTCGACGACTGCAATCAAATTTCACGCAGACTCCGTCCAGGAGAAAATCTTTATCTTCACGCATATAGACACGCGTGTGCAATAGATCTTTACCGCGGTGATACTCGCGATAAAAGCTCTCTCTCTCTCTCTCTCGTGACAGCACTCCGCGATGCTCCACACGGCGAGATACAGACCCGGTTCCTCGCGAGGAGGCGGCAACACCTGGACGTAGGAAAGCGCCGCGCGGAGGAGAACGATTTTCGCTCACCGGGCGAACACTCGCGGCTTTCAGTCGCACATCCCCTACCTGTGTTACCAGCGTGCCCGCGGGAACATCAGCGGCGTCTCGCGTCTCGCAGTAGTCGTCCGGGGTACTCTCGTCGTCGAGCGTGAATGCACCGGCAGGTATGCGAGCGGGGAACTGGAATTGCGTTCTCCGCTCCCCTCGTTGCGCGCGCTACAGCGCGCGGCGCGGATCAATTATAAAGCGTATACGCGAGCGAGAGCACGAGGCGGCCAGGTAGGCAGGGTAGGCGCGCGGGGCGTCGGCGTTTACGTTCGCTCTTCCTCGCGAGGACGACGAGAAGAGAGCACGGCCTAACGACTAGGAGTAACAAGTGCTCGAGGAGCCAGCCGGCAACCTTGCGATAGCGATCTCAGCAGCCGGCCGGCTGTAACTAGCTAACTGAAATATCTCGTGCACGGCGCGTCGCGATATACGCGGTGTCCCGTCAGTCGGGCGGAGGTGTGACGCGGAACAACGTCCCCGTCGTCGTCGATCCGAGCGTCCGAGGACGAAGGGACCTTCCCGATTCGCGGCTGAGAAGGAGAAGGAGATCAGCTGGGATCATAGCGTTTGACAGAACTGAAATTTAGTTACCAATTTAGATCTCACAGCGAAAAGTAGGTATAAGGATAAAAATATAATGAGTTAACTGAATTTCAATTGTATCACATGGACAGCTAGTTTTCTTTTTCTTCTTTACTATGGAAGCTAGTCTGCAGCTGTGGCAGGGAAGTCTTTTTTTCCCGTGAAGTACCAAAACCGACGTACTATTTCGTTTCTGGGCTCTGAAACCTTATCGAAGATGTACAATTAAAGTTTATCTGCGTCGATGCAAACCAGCAATACTCGTCTACCAAAATATATCATAGTTTTATAAAAATTATTACGTATCTTTCGGCAAATAACTATTTTTTTTATGTTTGAGAATTGGCGTTCCTGGGAACTACACAGTAAAACATTTATGTGTTGATAAGGTAAATGTGTTAATTTAACATTTGATGATACTTGACACTAAAATCGATATATCCATAATATCTATAGGAAATTATCAAAAAAAAAAAAAAAATTGAAACGAAAGCACTGAAATTGGATTATTTTGTGCATTTATAATACATCTTTACGTGTTATCTTTAATTTTATATATTTTTTAAAATTTTAAAATATTTACGGCGTATTACTACTTTATTATGAGAAAAGGGATTCTGCGACTTCTCCTTTTCGACCGTCTTAAACAAACAAGAGAAACAGGAGGAAATCAAACGTCGACAGCTTCAACTGTATTCTGTGAAATGATATTTCACAGTAGACAACCTAAACTTAACTTCTTTTTCGCGTGATTCAGTGACAGAGGATAGAGACTGACACAAGATCCAAAGTGATACAAAAAATTCCAAACTCACACCATAAAATAGCACAGTCAAATAAGTCACTCACCGCTAATTTGTCACTTTAATTTTCACAAGAAGAAGATAGCTTGACAAAAACCTCAGCACAACGGAAGATTAAATGACGTTAATAACACAATCGAACGCGCTCGCAAGCAGAAACTGCCACTTTAGCTCCAACTACTGTACAAAGAGGAAGTTCAATGTTCTGTCTGATAGGGTTCAGTACTTTACAGTCGAGAAACACATACATACGTCGAGCAAAGAACAATAGTAATAAAAGGCTCTCAGATTAAAAATCAAAATCAAAGTGATACAATGCTAATAAAAGCTAGAGTCAAGTGCTAAATGAGTTATACTGATACATAAATTAACGATGCATTTTTGATAACATGTATGTCGGTTTATCATACCTATGTCAGTTTTGGTGCTTTTTTGTCCTATACTTCTTCAGCGTTTAAATTTTCGGTAATTGTTTATCGCGGCGATTACCTGGATCCAGGCGTTCACTTTTTACTCCACGGTTTTACCGCTTCTAATGAAGCTAACTCGCCCGATTACGTTTTAACTTTATAATTGCGTTCGATGCTTAAAGATGTTGTCGCATATTTCTGGAAATCAGGAGATCGTGCGAGAATGATTATTTATTATTACTGTTGCTCGTTCGAGCTATCGAATGGATACTGACGACTTCTTTTTCGTTCAATTAAGATCGCAAACGGGAGAGAAGTCCGAAAGGTCTTCCTTATTATATTTCTAATTGGCAGAAAGCCGAGTGTTCTTATCGATTTCTATCAAACGTTGTAGGCCACGGAGCCAATTGGCTCTTCTTCTCAGAGCCACCTTGTATAAGTTGCGCGCCGCTTCCATAAAGACGCCCGACGGAGAAGTAACTCGCGGTCGTCCCCGAGTTACTGAACTTCCTCCTCGCCGCTAAGAAGCGGCCGCAAACTAAGAGAGATATTAGGAATGCGTGGCTCGCGTGACTTCCAGATCTCGGATGGATCAAAAGCCCTGAATTCTCGACGATACAGCGCGCGTTGAAAAATTTAATTACGTTAGTTGTAATTTTTCTTTTTTTCGAACACGAGGAAACGAGCGGTTAATATACACGTACAATGTACACACACAAACGCGGGGCTCGGAACGAGCTCGGCCGCGAAATGAGCACGTGTTCGGGCGAATCGCTCATGTCGAACGAAGACTTTCATCGGCGCGTAATGCGGAAAGCATTTCCGGAAAATTGGATTGTGTCTCTGTTATTTGCATACACGCAAGATCCCGACCCAGGCTTCCGAAGCCGTACTCGCGTGCGCCGATGCGAGTACGCAGACGCTCCGTAAAATCGAGCTAAATTGCCCGTTTCTATTCTCCGGCATCTCGCAGCGCGCGCGCGAGAACGTTCATGAAGTTCCTCAACAGCGCGCGCGGGAATCCAGCGTTTTAACTTGATATTCTATTCCTCCTGATTTTTAATCGGGTAAAATAGAATAGAGTAGAAACGGGAGACATTTAAATAGAAAACATTGAAAACGTATTCAAAACGTGCACACATATTCTCCAGTCGGTATATACCTAAGAAAGTCTCCGAGTTCTTCAATAGCGATGGGATTTTACATGTAAATCATGTAATCATGTAAAATAGAATATCAAGTTAAACCCCGGCTCTCGCTGGAGAAGAGCTTCAAGATCCTCTCAGATACATCGACAAACGTGAGCATGTCTTAAATATATACAACTTTTCTTTTTCAACTCAAATACTGTCGACACACAAAGATATAACGAATATTACTATGAATAAATATATATTATAAAATTCTAACAGCATAAAATGTCGCACAAGGAATGGAGAAATATCGTCTCTGTGATTTATAGATGTCATGTTTGTCGCTATAAAATTAATCAGTTTTTTTTTCTGATTTGAATAAATTCGTTTCTTGAAGAGATTAATCTTTCCTTATCTCTCAACCATTTTTTTTCTTCGCCCAAGTACTATCAAGTACTGTCAAGATGTATGTCCCAATTAGTGACAAAGCAATCTCATCATGAAAATAAATTAATAATACATGTGTTTTAAGTATATAAAACGTATTTTCTTCGAAACTTTGAACATTTGAGATTTTAATTCTATTAAATTCTCTTTAAATTTACAATAAAATTTTAATCAATCTGCGATATGTTGTTCATTTGAAACTTGTTATAATAGATAATATAGAAAATTTAAAGTAAAAACATATTATTAGGATAAATATGAAGCTATATTATTGGACTTATTAAGAAGGACAGATGAGATTGTCACAAATTAGGATACTGTCATTAATAAGAATTCACCTTGTGTGCGCGAAGAAATCGGGAAAACGATATTTACAAGCAGAAAAAAAAAATTACGAAAAAATTTACAAGAATTGCAGAACATTCATGTCAAAAGTAAAATGTCGGCGGGACTGATGCGTCTGATATAAAATTCTGATAATTACGTGAGGAAAAGCGTGCGCGCAGGCGGGGCAACATCGTTGTCGTCGTCCATTAGGCATGAAAACCCGTCGCGATCCATTGAATATTTATTCGACTGCGGAAAGAATGCGCGACACGGAGTCGTTACAAAAAACACTATTCCGCAACTGCGACTGTAGGTATTCATTGCCGCAAATAGTCAGCGCGATCGGCTCGCCGGCACTCGCGTTACACGATATTTGCATATTCCTTTTAATAAACATTAGCTTAGCACCATTAAATTCATCGAGTCGGCCAGCCTTGGCTGCCTTATCTTCGCGTGAGCCTCCGATAAGGGCAACTTTAAGCCGCGCGCGTATCATTCGCGAGTGAATAGTGCGTCGCGTCGCCGTTCGAGAGAAGCCTGTGAACAGAGCTCGCGTACACACGCGGGAACGTCGACTCACGAAACGCGAGAAAAGAGATGATACGTCATTAAAATCCAGGCTACGCTTATTAACCCGATTTGTTACTTTACGTCTTGTTTATATCAGCGCGGCCAACGACGTTACGTAACGCGAATGTATGCGTGAACCAATACGAAATTGTGTAACATTCAGCCGGTCAAAACCGAGTATGGAGTTTGAAGAACTTTTCGGATTTGAATGGACATGCGACTTCGGTGGAATTATAAGCGCGATTTTGATAGAAACGGTTTTATTAAAAAGAAAAAAGAAAAGAAAGGAAAAAAACCGTAAAAATAACACACGGGAGGCGTGATTTTGACGCGATACAGAGCTGGCAATTAGTGTTTATCAGAATTTCCAACGCCGTTATATCGAGGCTGCCTCTCACAACTTCCTCAAAACTCGTTCACGCGATTTAAATAAAATTCCTCTAAAAATGAGAAGCCGTGCTACTGGTTTCAAATATCAAATGTTCGTCTCGCGAGCGAATCTATTCCCATTCGAGTAACACTCGTACGCGAAACATACTTCGCCGATAAGACCAAGTTTATCGTCTCAGGTGGGTAGATCCGCGTAGGAGGAGCCGACGTTTCAACTTCTCTACCGCGGCCCGCCACCTGTGGCGTTGCGCAAATCGTCTAATTAATATTTATATAATGCGACAACACAATTGTCGCAACGACATTAATCGAATTGTTGAGATTAGTCGCGTGTGTGGTCGCTCAGGTGTCGTGTAACGCGATGGTGTTGCATTACGCAAGGCCATTACACACGCCTTTCCTTCGAAGTGATACGACGGGCAATTTGTCGAAACGGTAGAAATGATCGAAATATATCGACGAATCAACTTTTTCCGACGATTTTTTATTTTTTTCAACCAATCGCATTGCACGTATGATTTCTCGGATTCGCGGTTTCACGGACGTGTCAAATCAAAGCCGTGTGCAATTTTTAATCGCTCACTGACCTGGATGACGAAGCTCGTACTTGTTCCTGTCCAGATTCTTCTCGCGGCACACTTCGTCCAGAATTTCTCCCAGGTTCATCTTCGGACTGACCCTCGACACGTACAGCTGATTTCTCGGCAGATGCACCTGCGCCGACGCGACGATCAAGTTGTCGCATATCACATTACCACCGGGGTCGATTCGCGTCCCGGACACGCACTCTCGAGCTTCGTAACTGTGATTCTAAATGGGTGCCCAGCGCCAGAGGATACTTCTTCGTTTACTTTCAACGTTTGTCGGTATCGAGAAAGTACGGGTCAAAGTGTCTCTATTTGCTATAAGCTCGCGCAAAAGATACTACTTGCGCGCGCGCGCTCTTGGAAATCTCTCATCCTCGCTGGCGAGACGGCGGCGGATTCCGCATTGCGAAAGTACACAATGAAAAATAGACCCGCGAAGTTTCTCAACTTCATTAACATACATCTGTTTGCGTTCTCTATTTCCCTTTTTCTCCGACAGCTGGCGAATTCGATCGCCAAAGATAAGCCAATCTGCATTCAGTGTATTTTAAAACGTATTAAAATATGTTAATGAAGAAAGTCGGTGGATCCTCCTGCGAAGGCCGGGCTCGCTCCGATGTTACTTTCAATCGGTTTCGAAACATGAAGCGTGTGAAATTCTACGTGCGTATTTCCGAGAAACGCAAGACTTTCCGGCTTCGTGCGAAACGCGAAACTGCTGGACCAGTTCGACGTGGATAATCGCGAAAAAGCTACTTTACCTGCAATCTAAACGTCGTTTCGAAAGGTTGATTAGTCTGCTTCGTTTTCCGCGGTACGCAAGTGCCCTGCTTGGGAAGTAATTTAACCTGAAACACACACCCGCGCAACCGGAGACCTCTTTAATCCGTTCGAGAAACTTATCGATGAGATAATCGCGAACGTGTATGCTAAAAGACGTCTCAAAGACAACCCTGAGATGTCTTATTGTCTAAAGGACGTTTTTGCGACGTCTTAGGACGTCGTAATGTTATGTATACCTGCGGGTAGTACTTCCCGAATATAATATACTTGACATTTCCTGGGAGACTCAAAGATTAAAAAAGTAATCCTACACTGAGAGGAAAAATATCTAAAAAATATTTAACAATAAAAATATTAAATAACAAATATTACTCGGTGCGGTGAGAGAGAATTATAGCTATTTTCGGTGCCGACAATATCCTTTTATTATTTTAACCGTAAAAATAGTATTATTAAATCTAAATTCTTTTATTGAAATATAACAAACAATTGCTTTCATGAAAAGCTGCAGATTTAAAAAAAAAATAAAAAATAAAACATGTATACTGCCTCATTTAGAAAAGTTCTCAATGTAGAGACACGTACATTAGTTTAAGTAAATATGTTATTAGTACCTATCGGTGTTATTAGCACTTTTTCTCTCGACGTATATTTAGCTTCGTCGTTAAAAAAATAACAGATGTTTATGATAGCGCTCGATCAGAACGGAAGTGTAACGTAAACAATTATCAGCCGCGGGTCTAAATCTATTTTCATCACGTCCGATGACGACGCATCGGAGTTACGGAGAACGAATCGCGTATTCATGCTCGATTCTAACCGTACCGGAGAAAGTATAGCGATTGGCACTGGGAATTGACGCGCTAGAGGGTTGACTCAACGCGCGAGCGAGCGAGCGAACGAACGAGCGAGGGAAGGAAGAATCACATGTTAGAAAGCGCGTTCTCGCGATAGAAATTCATGTGACACGCGCTGGGAAATTGTCGGGATCATTAACGTGTCGGTTGACTCGCGGCGGACCGCGCTGGACAGAAAAAACCGTTGCGGCGACTCTGACGCGGTTCCATGAACACCGGGGAATCGCGGGATCCGTGTAGGGAAGGTCGACGCAATCGATTGCACGCGACCAGTCCGCTCGGAATTCTAACTCCGATCGTTTTCTTCGTTTTTTATCGTCGAGAGGCACAATGCGTCCAGAGACTGTCGCCGAGATCTCGAGGACGCGCGCAATTCTCGATCGCGCGATCTACGAGCGAACGCACGTTGCATGCCGTCGCGAAGATATCATTGCGAGAGTCTCTGGCTTCCAGCGCGGATCTTATCGATCGTGTAAAACGGAGGTGAGTCTGAATCCAGCGGAATTGAATTGGTCCTTTGGAAATTCCTTTAATAAACGTATCTTAAGAATTACCGCATTAGCTTTTCGCTCAATGGGATTTGTCCGCAGAGTTGCAAAAGCATTTAAGAAATGTGAGTACTCTTGGACTACCGGTACAGCCGGTGCAGGTAAACAGCTGCAACACCATTTGCACGAGTCGCACAACGCAAATCAAGTGTCCAATAGGAAAATTTGTATTTCATAGTGATTCCCAGGAAATACACTTTTCGTATTGTATATACGTAAGATGCGTTGAAGAACTCGCCGAAAAAGAAGAAAAAAAATGGTTGCAACTATTTATCGGATAATAATGCGTATCTCACTGGCACTCATATTGCGATTCGAAGATTAATACCACGTAACACGTGCACGTATAATCTGTTTAAAAAGGAAGAAAAACTGGTAAAATATTAATACAGAGTATAAGCATCGGCTGATTTATATTCCGCCAAGCGTATTAATTTATGGCCGACGTAATGTGCGTGACGAAAATCCGAAAATTATATGTGCGTGAACCAAACAATACGAAAGGAGCACTGCGAAGGACCTTTGAACGTTTAACGTAAAACTAAATTAGACTTAAATCAGGACGAAAATTTCGACTCAGGTAGTGTCAGATCCGAAGGGATATTGAAACCCAATTCAACACCAAACATACCGGAAATATAATATAAATATTATCATATGCTGTCTTTGCGCGCGAGATGCGTCGCAGAACTAACCTGAAGTGCGTCCAAAGCTCCTATAGGGGTGTTCGGGTGATGAGGTAGAACCAAGCCGCGTTCGCCGATCGCCTGCAGGGTGTAGCTCGATGCCGTCAATTTGTGCGCCGTCGCGATCTGCACGAGGAGATCCATCATCGGCGTGCTGCGGACAAGCGAGGGTTAACGATTTCTCTTAATTCGCATCACCGAACGTGCGCATCAACGAACGTGCGACGCACCTGTCTGTCCTCGCGTACAGGTTTCTGACCGCGAGGTAACGCCTTGGGTGAGAAAAATAAAATTCCCGCGTAAATTATACACAAACTTTATTATCGCCTCCTCCTTCGCCGGCAATCAAGCCAGCGAAATGCGCGTGAAATTACACGCTCTTCCATGTTTTACCCGCATTCCTCTCTCTCTCTCTCTCTCTCTCTTTCTCTCGAAATATAGATAGTTATCTATCTTCCGCGCGCTTATCGCCTGCCACACGCCAAAATGATATCGCCATCGTAAAATAATTTACTTTACGACACTCGTGGGGGACTGGAATTCGCGCGAAAAATTTATGCTTCACTGAACGTCACGAGTTCATCGGGACGTGCGAAGAAACATAAAATCGAGATCCGTTCCTGCGGCCGTTCGTAGGAAAATCTGCGACCTTGTTTTGAATTTTTGTTCTCGAAAAGTTGCGCGAGACGAACGGTAATCGACCGGAGAGAGAGAGAGAGAGAGCGTTGTAATTAATTATGACGGATACGATCGTGCGGTGCGAAGCTAATGTATTCTCGGAGCCAGCTTCGATGTTTGGACGGGCACGGAGCCGCGGGCGAATTCGCTAGAATAGTGATCTATGTGGGCAAACACGTGTTTCCCATCATAGAAATGCTATTTAGCGGATGACATCGTTAAGTTTTATCAGCGCTCGCGATTTAGGAGTGCTCGATTGAATAGATGGCGAAGCCATCGATCACCGTGATTCATTTGAAGTGCTCCGACGATCCAGACTTGTACAGCCGCATTGAGAGAAGTTACAATTATTTTCGGCTTTTGATTTTAATCACGAAAATAATAATTGCAATATGCGGGTAGGGTCGTTAAAAAAAAAATATATATATATATATATTTAAATATTTTTCTCTCATTGTATATTATTGGTATTCGAGCGATGGCACGTTTGTCTTTACGTTATTACAAGACAAATCCCCATATCGGGGAAGATGTTGTCCGCGTAAAAAATCAGGGCGCAACGCCTATATTCAGTATATGCGATTAGTACGAGCACATTTCAAAAAAAGTTCTCATCGCGCGAGATTAACCGTTTTCCGGATGAGATGTTATCTAGATCGGCCTCCGAAAGGGTACATTAAATCGTCCTGAACGCATTTTGAGGCAAGATTTCCGTTAGGCTCGAAACGATCGAGTGCTCGAGCGGCGGCGAATAATCCTGAGCAGGCCTGTCGTCACAATTTAAATTTCAACCGGCGAATTAACCTGGCGCGCGCGAAAGAGAGAAGAGTAGAAGAGGGAGTCGCGACGACAGAATGACGCCGTGGGGAGATAAGGAGGCAGCAATCATTTGGTTACACGGCACACAAACCCGATTCCGACGCGGTATTCACTCGCGGATCCGCGATAGCTTTTTGATTAATGAACTCGCGTAATAAGCAACAAGGATTATTTGCGTAGCCGATCGCGAGACGCGGCAATTTGGAACTCCGGCTTGTAACTCGGACACTTGTGCTGTCGCGACTCGCCGATCTCGTTAACAATGATTCACGACTTATTACGACTAATTACGCTGCGATTTAACGTTGAGTAATAATCGTGACATTCCAATGTCTGTTTATTAATTTCATTACGATGCGTGATGTTGTGACATGTATGACACGGAGAAAGGCACGATGTTGTATCAATAGAATCTCCAACAGGTAATTGGAATGAATTCTCGTGAATTCGCAGCAATAAATTAGCACTGGAAATAGCATTGGAAAAGAAATCAATACTCGAGTATATCGTGTATAGTTACGGTATTACAGTTATAAATATCGAGTATTTCCCTATCAGTGTGTATAACACTGAGCAATATATTATAAATATTGCATTACGTAACATATATATTTATAACACAGTTATAAATATCGAGTATTTCCCTATCAGTGTGTATAATACTGAGCAATATATTATAAATATTGCATTACGTAACATATATCGTTAATATTATTTTGATGTGGCGCATCATATGTTACATAACATATATTATTACGTTACGTAAGAGCGATTTTTTCATGATTACGCGGCGCTCTTACAGAATCCAGAGATCGGCCTATGACGGGCCAAATGAAGCGCGGCCAGAGAGATGAAGGAAAGGAAGGGGAGCGCCTTTACTTCGGGCGAACGAGCCTGTAGGCTAATTGCAATTTTGAAACTGGAGCTGAATGTTAATTACGCATTCGGCGGCTCAGCTCGACGAGCAATTTGACGTGCGTCACGGTGGAGTAGCACGAAGATTACCGGTATTGTGGTCGGAGGACGGCCGCGTTCATGAAGACAGAAACTAATCCATCTAATCCGACCGTTAGGATAATTTGTCGAGTCGTCGATTAGACGACCCCCCCGGTCAAACGACTCCGTCGCCGTAACGACCCCCCCCCCCCCATCAGACAACCGTTTGGCAATCGACTCCGCATTTCGGACCCGACAAACCGGTCAAATAAAATACAAACGCGTTTCGTCTGACATTTTGTGAGTCAGAAGTAATTGCCGGGACTATTCTACTCGCATTTGTCTCGAGTCGCGCGATTAAAGTGGAATTAAACTTTCGAAAGTAATCCCGGGATACAATGCTGCTAATTGTTGCGGTGATGAGCGCGCAACGAATATGCAATGATCGATTTCGACCGGCCGCGTGTACCCGGCACGAACCGTTTTAATAAATGTTCTAACGGTTCGAGATTCCTTAGATCGACCTTAAATGCAAAGGTCGACGAAGATTTAAGTGATAAAAAATTCGATACTACACAGTAAAAAAAATCGTGTTAAATTTAATACATTTAACGTGTCTCATGACGATCCACTCAAATTCTTGCGTTAATTTGACACAAGGATATGTTAAAAATAGAGCAAAAACTTTTTTCAAGGACCGATCTTAACACAGGTACAAAATGTATTTCACTGTGTATATATTAATATTGATAATTTGTGTAGGTTTTTAAATAAGATTTGATTGTTGGGATGTCGCGGACACATCGCAAGAATTTAGATCACACGAGTTACAGAGGACAATCGATTCTGTTACGCTCGGACACGTACCTTCGTAACACTGTGACCCTCTGTGTGTGAACATGATGGTCAACAGGCAGCTGGACCAGAAGCTCCATACTTCCGGCCAGCATATCTGCCGGAGTGTCCTCGGTCACGGTAAGAACCATTCTGGATGGTCTCTCCTCTCTGCTCCTGAAATAGAAATTAATGTTTTCATTAGAATTAAACGTTATTTGACAAATAAAATTCGACTTTTCTTAATTTATATTTCGAAAAGGAAACAAAAGAAAAATTCCCCGAAGTTTTATGAGTTTTTGTAAAAATATACAAAAGCAAGGAAAAATAGCCTCGTCTATATGTTATATAAGGAGTCGATTAGTCGCGCGTAAACAACATTGTAATTGCAAAAATAAGACATGTTGAATGATCATGGGGATAAGGTAATAGTTTTATCGACGATGCATCATTGATGTTTAAATTGTCGATCATGCAATAGTTGTTATGTAGTGATCATTTGTAGATAGAAAATATTGCAAGCGTCAAGAAAAGATACTCCATGATTGCATCGTTTGCACGTTTCAATGATGCACGAGAGGTAAAATATGTGTATTGGCACACTTCGTGAAAAGTTCGAAGGTACGAACGTGACTATAATTACGTACGACTTCCGCCAACAAACAATGGGACTGACATGGGTCAGTTTTCACGTCTTCGTGTCACGTACGTAGTCAATGTCAACCGTTATCATGGTCTTATTAATATGAAAGAACTGTTTTCCTGTCACCTTCATTGTGTGACTTCCGAAACAATCAGATAAATCCTCATTAGGCGAGTAATTTAAATATGAATCTATATAAGTGTGCCGTTAAAAAAATTTTTTAAAGTAATAGCGTTTTTGATAGTAAATTTAAGAAACATATTAAAATGTATAATATCTGTCGTAATTTTCACAATATCAGTGTTGTTAGTTATAAGACAGATCATTCGCTTTCAAGATAAAGAGATTCACATTTATTTGTAATCTAGGTGTTCTTATAAATTCTTCGAGACAAATTCAATTTGTCAAGTGTATATTCTTTTATCCACATTTCGCGCGCAATGAAACGAAACCTGAAGTCTCGAAAGTACGCTTTTTTAATATTTCGAAACTTTGCTTCGTTACCGGTCCGTTTCCCGTCTGCAACGTCGCATGCAAAACTTTCGTTTTCTTCTGCAATCATTTTCTCTTTAACGTTCGTTAGGCTTCTTCATTTGCTCTTTAACGATTTTACGGTCCGTGGCTCGTAACGGATTACAATCAGTAATCGTCGTGTCGTACGCGCACAGATGAGGCGCGTACACGTACACGCATGGCGCCCCGTTAAAACAGCGCTTGTACGAGGAAGCGATTTGTTCGTTTAATTATTGTTATTAGGTTTTACTTAACTTTCGCCTATCGAAAAAGAAAGCGCGATCTCCTGCCGCGGTGATTATCTTCATTTGAAATTTCGTTATCTCGCTAGAAGTTTCGTGCGGGTATCTTTTTACTTTTGCTCGTGCCGTGCCGCGATGCTGTTTAACATTGGGGCCGTTCGTGTTTTATTTTCGCGCTCTCGATAACGGTAAATCGATCGAGAGGGTCTCGGGATTTTCCCGGAAGCTTTCCCGGGAGAAAACCGTAAATGGAATGAAGCGTGCAACAGACGCTTTATCGCGAGAATAATCGTGCATATCCAAATTACGTACACGTACGATTGCGCTTTAGGAATGGTGCCACCCGTTACATAATTCGGCGCGCATATTCATACACGGGCGAGCGGTGGCTCTCTCTTATGTAATCCCAAGAGTCTCCCGCGCGTATTTACAAATGGCAAGTGCACGTAAGGATCGGCAACGAGCGTCGTTAATTACACCCACCTTCTTCGCAAACCGACGCAAACTGCTCTCGCGTGTACAGAGTGTTCCGGAAAGAACCCGCACCCGCTCCATCATCTCATGGAATGTGAATTGAATTATACCTCGTTTGAAATTAATAAATGTTTCGACCGTCCTAAAAATATGTGCTTTAATCATATTTTTTTTATATAAAAAGTAAATCTTTAAAAACGTATATTGCATATTCAAATTAAACAGCACGAAATTAAATATTTAATTTCCCTTCTCTCGTATACGTTTCTGTTGAGATATTAAAATACAAGATCACGTGAGAGAATTTCAGGTCACGGCTAAGAACGCTCTAATGGGTTGAAAAAATAGCTCGTTAAAAAAGGAAATTCGCTCGTCTAAGAATACATTGCAAACGACTAGCGAGTGACGCGGCACGTTTTAACACAGATTAATTCATGCGGATATTGTGGATGAGTAGCTTTCTCCCGTTGTTTCGAGTCGTGTACGTCGATTCGTTCGTACGAAGGACAACGTAATCGCTGTAGTACGTCGGAACGGACGAACGGACGATCGTCGTTACATAAACTTGCCATCTACGAGGAACAATGAAAAACTCTTATACAGCACTCAAGCCTCGATAATGCCATCCCGATAATTCAACACATTATCACCGTATCGCCGCTATTCTGTCCTACCGATACCGCCGGTAAAACTGACTTCGAAGCGAATCAAAAACAAACCTATCGCACGTTTAATTTCCAACAAAATAATCCGTTAATTACCACCTTCCGATACTGTCGAGGGAAATTGCGTTCTCAGATTAAATTTCTCGGAAAAAATACGTATCAACAGAGTCGCCATTATTCTATATGTCTGAAAAGAAACCTTAAAAATAGGATAGATAATATTATCGAGCAAAAATTAAATGTAACGGAAATAATAGGGAAGAGAGAAAGATAGATAGATAGATAGATAGATAGATAGATAGATAGAGAGAGAGAGAGAGAGAGAGAGAAAGAAGCAAGTAAAGAGTGAGACAAAATAAAGACATTCCCAGGTAGAAAACGAAACTGTGCAAAAATGTTAAATCGCGACGAACAAGTCCGCGGCGGCGTCCTCGGAACGTGGAGTTTCCTGCGAGTGAGATAATCGGCGCTCTATTTATTCCCCGACGCGCTCTATAAAGACCTCGGGTAGGACGTAAAACCAATAATTGCATTAATTGGCACTTCCCGGTTCTGCGTCCACGTCCGTCGCTTCTTCTCGACTGTCTGATAAGAAAAGGGGAAGGGGGGAGAAAGAAACTACGACGACGACGGCGAGAGGAAGGCGAGGCAGGCAGGTGGCCGTGCGCTAAAGTAAACGCGCGAGTTTCTTGCTCGGTTAGCCGCAAGCTCAAGGTTGCACACCGCGTGGAGGAAATCCGCCAGTCGCCCGCGAGACTATCTTCGCTTATTTACCCTCCCGTATCGGCCCGAGGGAGTTGACTTAATGGCGATCTTAATGAACCGATAGACTAGAACGAGCGCTCGCGCCGTTTATTTTCCCGAGGAAAACACGCTCGCGTCGGGGATTCTCGCTCTTTGAGAAATCGCACGGGTTTTTTTCTTCGTGAGAAACCGAACCTGCATGGGTTCTCTTGTAATACAGTCTCTCTCGAGAGCGGAGAGAAAAATTCCGACTTTCGGATAATTGAAAAATAAACGTCGAGGAGAAAATTAATATCTAGAAAACCGAGGAATTTCTTCGAAAAAAAAAAGCGAAGAAATATTTTAAACAAAGATTGAGAGCATGAAATATTGTCTTAAAGCTACAAGTCAGCCATTTTGCTAAGTCTCGAAGGAAGAATCATCTTTATAAAATTATTATTAATACATTATGTACCGGAAACGTTGATTCGCTTCTGTAGGAAAATGAAGCACAGAGTATTTGTGAATTTTGTTTCATATCTCTTCATAAGTAATAACATTTTAATGAATATCATGCTAGAAAAGGTTACTAATAAATTCATTGATTGTATGTCTGAAATTTGAACGAAATATTATAATGAAATATCCGGCATTGCGTTAGGAGCCTCTTTCTCGTCTGAACATTGTGAGCATCTGCTGAGAAAGGTGATTCAAAAGCGCTCGCGATTATCGGAGAATGCTTGGTCGCGAGCTGCATCCGACGGGAGAGAAGCGGAAAGAGGTGCTTCTCGTCGTCCGAGATTTCACGCGCGACCCGGCGAAGCAACGAACCCAAACGCAATAACAGGCGACGTAACAGCGAGCCGCACCTTCGCCCGGAGACGATAGCGCGCCGACTACGCAGAGGATATAATCGGTAATCGCGGCATCCCTCTCGACTCGTCAATTACCTTCCCTCGCCCGTGTGGATAGACCGCGAAAAACGGCCGTTACACTTGCGAGGCGCGGAGGCAGGAGGAGCTCGAAGAAACGATTTCGACGAAGGATGAGAGCAGAAAAGGAGGGTTATCGATGACCAGCACAATCTATCGCTGTAAAACACGCTCGACTGGAGCACTGAGCACCGAGTTTGCCGTTCGTAAAGTTTCCGTACCGGGTGTTCGAGAGAAACTCCCGAGACTCGGTGACAGTTCTTTCTTGAGGTCAGAAAATTCGGACTCGATTTTTCCCGAATCTAAGTCTTCTCTATATTTCTTAGAATATTTATATAATTTTATCTTTTTTTAGAATATCTTTTCGAATCGTTCCTTTCAGTATTTATCTAATTTAATTTTATCTTTTTTACCGATTTTCGCTCACCGTGGACGTAATACGCGTACAAGATCATAAAGAGAGAAATTCACGGGACGCATTAATCTCGATAAATAATTGGCGCCAGCGGGGGGATTTTTTCCATTTTCTTATTTTTTGCCTTAACGAGACGAGATCGAGGGTGAGAGGTGTAAAATCCTAAGTGCATCGTAAACCCATCGCGGGCGCGCGTATATGGCGGGAATAAAATTTCGGGGGACGTATCGTAAACGCATCCGCGGAAATGTATATGATGCATACGCCGATAAAACGCTTTATAACGTTTGCGAGTCGAAGATGTGGGGCGTATTATTGCCGTTAATCATGCTTGAAAACAAACGCTTGAAAACACAGCTTCCCCAAGCCGCGCTTGCTTTATCTAGGCTTTAAGAGCGCCTGTTCACGTTTAACGACGGAGTGGAGTAAACCAACATACCGTGACGCAAAGGCTGCTGTGTGAAAACAAAAAAAAAAAATATGCTAATCACGCGGAGACTCGGATCCTGAACGCGGCAGCGTCAGTTAGAGGACGATCTTTCCTCCACGGCGAAAGCGTGTAACCGTGAA